CCTAATTGTCCGCAGATAAAACAAACATCAGGCAGTGTGTTGCTTTGTGACTGCCAATACTGTCCTTGGTGTCCATACTGTCCATACTGTTCATACTGTCCTTGCTGTGGCTGTTCAGAGCAGCTTGATGAAGCAGGGCGAGATGGCAGAATTGTGCAGTTGGGCCTCTTCAACCTCACGGTTCATACATGGGACACTGAAGATCAGACGAAGCAGGTTTTGTAGAATATTCTGTTGTTTTCAGAATCCAGGGTAAAACATCCTTGTCCTCCTCACTCTTCCAGGGGCGGCATAATTTCTTCCTCCTCAGTCTTCGGGCCGTAGGGATAATGATCATCAATGTCCAAAAAAAAAAAAGGGTCTTTCCTCAGTGAGGCTGATGGTTGGTAAGGAGGAAGAGCTGGATAGAGTCTAGCGATTCCAGGTGGACCCGTTGGTGCCGCTGGATGCAAGCTCATCGCAGCAGGTTGACATGTTGGGAAGAGAGAAAAACAGTCATTAGTTTTATTATTTTTCTTATGTTGTTCAGCTGATTTCTCATGATTCTTTTTCTTTCTTCAGCTTTCTGAACCATCTGAAATCTATGTTGTGCGTGGGTTTTTTAATTTTTTTTTTATTATTTTTTTATTCCTATTTCCAGACTGAGTGTATCTGTGTGTTCTTGCATTATTTGTAAAAGTGAGATTTTTTTTATTTATTTATTTATTTTTTTCTCAGCAGCTGTTGTTTCTGTAGCAGTGAATTACTATCTAAAACTCGGGTTCAAATAACCCATGATTAGGAAATCCAAATTTACGCCATTGTGACAAATACTGAACACATGATTCCCCATTCTCTAATTGTTATTCTGCAAACCTCCTACAATTTAAAACGTTTATTTGAAACGTTTATTCCAATCCTCAGTCTAATTTGATAGACCTACAAACTCAGTCTAAATTAAGTCCTCTTTTTCTCAGACAGACCTGGCGAAGGTTTGGAGGAAAACCAGTTTGAAGGTTTGGTGATCAGCCCTCTCCTCTCCTGAGGTCCACCGATTTGGATGAACCAGCGAAGGTTCCCGGCCAACGCACCAAATTGTGAAGTCCACAATTCAGAGACTGAGGTCCAGACAAAAGTCAGGGAACAAAAACAATCTTTTATACATCTGCAGACGGAGAGCAAGAAATACACTGCATTAGGCACAAATTACTACTAAGTAAAATGTATTATTTGATTAGTTTAGTTTTAATGCTTTGCATTTATATAAATATTTACTAGCACCATTAATTATTTTTTGTGTTAGTAAATAATGTTTATGTCTTATTTTGTTTTGATTACTCCTTTACTTGGCATGTATGGTCAAATTGCTCAAGGTATAAATAGCAACTTCTGTGTCTCACTGTGTGTTGGTGTCGGTCCAAATGTGACCTGCGGTACCGAATAAACCCACCTCAACTGCATTTTGTTGTTATGTCTCTTGTTTTTTGGGAGGGGGGTTTAACATTGGGCCTCCGACCGTCAAAGTGACACTAAACCTGACGCTTATTCTTAAAAAGTAGCTGATCACAGACAGCCTGTGGCTCTGTGGACAGACGGCATGAAATGTCCTTATGGATCAGATGTAATATTCTAATTTTACTGTTCAATTTCAGATATGAGTGATGAGAAATATTACAATTTTTTGGAAACTGTAACCTTTTGATGCACACCTTTATGCAGTCACTGTTTAAGTTAGAAACTTACAGAGCTCATGGCTTTGGTCTTTGGACTAAAGATCCCCAAGAAAACATAAGCGTTCACAGAGAAAGCACGACACACACACACACACACACACACACACACACACACACACACACACACACACACACACACACACACACACAAACACACACACACATATATAGATATAGATCTATATATATATAGATCTATATCTCTATATATATGTACCATAAGTTATAGTTCCCATAAGCTTCCATACAAAGGTATGGAAGCTTATTTCCCAGCCCACCATGTGTCATGTGACCAGAATCACATGACACTGACCGCCTTGTCATCGGCGGTCAAACGAGTCTTTCATGACCCGACATTTCTCTTGAACCATGCATAGCTTGTAAACTGAAGAAAGGATCAACCAATCATAAAGCCCATTAAGTCTCTAATGGGCTTTGTGTTTGCAAGCATTTACTGCAAGGCAAGAGAAGTGATTTGTGACCAAATGATCGCAGATGCCCAACATTCAAAGGCTCTGCTTCTGCTGGTCATTGACGTCAAACTATGACGTCAGATTCGGAGTTTGAATGCGACAGAGAAGTGTCACGTGACCAATGAGCTATGGCAAGCCGATTTAACATAAATTCGGTTTCGTCTGACTATCCGTAATTACGTTCTAGATATCTGAAAATGCATTTTGACTTGACAAAACTACATTTTGACTATCCGGAATGGTAATTTAAGATATCTGCATTTACATTCTGACTAGTAAGACTAATAATTTTTAAACATCTTTTTTCGTTTTTTCTATTTTTCATTGTTTTATTAAAATTTCAAATTGCCACGTAAATCAGTGACGCTTTGACTAGACAGAATGCCAATTCAAGATATCAGTAATGTCATTTTGACTCGTCAGGATGTTGATTTAAGATATCTTAAATAGAAAAGTTGAGTAATTCAAGATATCTCTAATTCATTTAGAGATATCGTAAAAGGAATTTTGACTAGTCAAAATTATAATTCTAGATATCTCTCATTTAGTTTTGTCTAGTCATTATTTGCTTTTAAGATATCTATAATTTAATTTCCACTAGTCAAAACTACATTTCTCCTATCCAAAAATAAATTTAAGATATCTTGAATTATGGACTAATTAGAGATATCTTGAATTATAATTTTGACTAGTCATAATTTAATTGTAGATATCTGAAATGTGTATTTCACATAGTCAGTAATTCATTGTAGATATCTTGAATTGAAGTCCCCATACAAATCAATGGTAAATCTGACGTCATTTTGACTAGTCAGAATGTAATTGGAGATATCTTAAATTGCTAAAACGTCTAGTCATAAAACAATTTGAGATATCTGGAACGTAATTACGGATAGTGAGGCAAAACCGAATTTATGTTAAAACGGCTTGCCATAATATCTGACATTTCAGACAGTAATTCATTGTAGATATCTTGAATTGAAGTCCCCATACAAAACACTTTTAATCCACTTTTGGGATTTGTCAAACCTTTATGTAATTTGTGAAACTTCACTAAAGTTCAGATTACTATCACACTTGTTCCATGCCAGGTTTTATTTTTCAAATTCCTTCATTTTACATTTAATTAAAACACAAACCCCAAACACTTTATTAATCCCAAACCACTTTATTAATCCCAAACCACTTTATTAATCCCAATGGGAAATTAAAAGTTGATGTGACTCATTAATTCTTCAAAGGATTATTGTAGATGGCTGTTGGAAGGAAAGACCTTCTGCAGCAGTCTGTTAAATTTCACAAATTAGAAAAATAAAACTTTCACAAATCCCACACATGGTTCTAAATATTCTGCCATGAGTTCAGAATAACCCGGTCCAGGTTTGAAGTGTCTAGATTTTGTAGTTTTGGAACCGGAGCAGTTCTAGAGTGACCGAGATTGAAAAACGGACAAAAAATGTCTTTCACTGCAGTTTCACGAATCAGAAAAAGGTTTCTCAAGTCACAAACATGGCTTTAAATATTCTGCTATTAGAGCAGAATAATCCTGTCCAAGGTTGAAGTGTCTAGGTGTTGGAGTTTGTTTTTTTTTTAAACAAGAGTAAATTAAAAATGCGGGTCTATTCTAAAGGCCATCGGTCAGGAAATTATTTATTCCCAGAAATGTTAAGTAGACTTTGACTGATTTTTATTTATTTATTTATTTATTTATTTTTGGGTGTTTCAGAGCTGTTGACATTAGTTACTAAAAATATTTGATTTAATCCCTATAAAACTCTGCACCTCAATTTTGGGGGATAATTCTACAGATTGTTTTTTTACAGTGTATTTTGGGTTGTTTTACACATCCAAAAATATTTTTATTTATGTAAAAATATTTTAAATAAATAAGGGGGGGCGAGGGGGGAATCACATTTCCTTAGTATGAAATCACATTACTTGTCTCGTTTTCGCCACTCATCAGAATTTGGACATTGAATGTTTTTGATCTCCTAATGTATCAAAAACTCTTAACAGGAAACCATAAAACGGTTTCAAATGAATTTCCAGTTGTTTTAAAAACGTGTTGTTCAAAAATATATTTTTGTACTAATAAACTGGACTGTGTACATTCCCACCAACTTCTTTTTGTTGCTGTTGCGCATCAACAGCTCTCTGGTTTCTGCAAGTCAAACCTCTGCCACAAGATGGCGCTGCTGCTCTCCTTAGTTTTCAGGGAGTTGTTATTTTTCCGTATTTCAGCAGTGCAACCTACAAAGTCATTTTTTTCCTTTTTTAGAATACAGTAAGAGCATGTCTCTGATTCAGTGGTTCTGGACTGAATCAGAGATACTGGCCGAGTCAGAAATACTGTACTTCCGACAAATCCTTGAAGAAAAGCTCAAATATCAGAGCTATTCTTCTGCCTTCGAGCAGCTCCACAATTACAATTCTTAGAAATCCCAGCTTTTCACCAGCACTGAACGCATCATCCCCAGGTGGTGGTAGACACCTATGAAGGATTCGTGCACGCGCATTTTGACCATTTGTAATTATACTTGTTCGGTTTGAAATGTGGACATTTGAGGAACTGCTGACACAAATGCGAATGTGCAATTATTCAATAACAAATCTTCTTTTACACTTGTTTATTTACACTACATTTGTTTTGCGTGTGTGTGTGTGTGTGTGTGTGTGTGTGTGTGTGTGTGTGTGTGTGTGTGTGTGTGTGTGTGTGTGTGTGTGTGTGTGCGTGTCTTTGGCTCCGCGGGGTTCCTGTCTTCCTATTGGCTGCAGAAACTCGTTTACGTTCGGCCGTATGAAACCTGTTGGAAGATCCACCGGAGTGATGAGAGAAAACCCCGAGAACCTTCCGGGACTTTCGACCTGTGCCCGTCTGACCCATGTGATGAGAAGGATCTCGGTCCTGCCTGCAGGTCTCGGGGTTTACTCAGTTCTGCACGATAAGGACGGACTTTGTGCTCTAAATGCAGCGCTTCCCTCTGTGCTGAGGAGGATTTCACGCTCTTCTGTTTTCATCTCCTAATCAACAGATTGGATCGTGTCAGTATTTTTTTTTTATCCCGTTTTACACCAAGACTCGAACTTGACACGCCTCTGCTCTTGGATTAATTGCATCGCCCTGCCTCCCTCCCCCTCCACACTCCTCCTCTCCCCGACCCTTTTTCTTGTCAAGTCCATTCTTGTTTCGCATGAAATGTCTTCGTTACCAGGACTGGTCCCGCAGATGATGCGCCCGGCACCCAGACAGAACCACCAGCGCGCTGGACTCCCGCTGGAAGGTGAGCTTCACTGCAGGCTGCAGGGCCCAGAGAGGCAGGCTGGAGATCAGCTGCTTTATTTATTAATAAATCAGTGAAATGAAACAAAATAAAATGAGATGAAACAAAATAAACTAAAATCAAGTGTAATATACTTGGACTATTTAAAACACCGCCTGCTCAGACTGAGTCGGTTTGATAATAATAATAATAATAATAATAATAATAATAATAATAATAATAATAATAATAATAATAATAATACCTTAATTTTATTATTATTATTATTATTATTATTATTATTATTATTATTATTATTATTATTATTATTATTATTATTAAGTTTTCGTGATCGTAAAAATTTATTTATTCCATGATAATTTATTTCGAGGGTCCAATTCTGAGGAGGGTTGGGGGGAGGTTGTTTGTTTGTTTGTTTATTTTCCTAACTATTTATGATAGATGATTATTCAGTGGCCACTTTTATCAAATGAGTGGCCCAATGAAGACGAGAAGAAATATTCTGCATCTTTTAATTCAATAACCATTAAAGAAAAGAAAAAACAGATCTACACAGTTATAACTCAGTAGCATAATTGACATATTATTTTAAAAAACAACAACAAACCAACAAACCTTCTTGTGTCCCAGCAGTGTCCACTGCTCTCGGTCAGGGCCGGGTCAACCAGCTGGGAGGTGTCTTCATTAACGGCCGGCCTCTGCCGAACCACATCCGGCACAAGATAGTGGAGCTGGCCCACCAGGGGGTCCGGCCCTGCGTCATCTCCCGGCAGCTGCGCGTCTCTCACGGCTGCGTCTCCAAGATTCTCTGCCGGTTTCAGGAGACGGGCTCAATCCGACCAGGAGCCATCGGCGGCAGCAAGTCCAGGGTGAGGCAACTCGACAAAAATGTGTGCGCGTGCGTGAGCGCGCGGATGTTTGTGAACAACACGCATGAGTGTGTGGCTCAATGTGCGCGAGGTCCTGCAGCAGTTATCGACGTCGGACGTGGAGACGCGGATCGAGGAGTACAAGCAGGAAAACCCCGGGATGTTCAGCTGGGAAATACGAGACAAGCTGCTGAGAGACGGAGTGTGTGACAGAGGCACAGTCCCTTCAGGTCATTATTATTATTATTATTATTATTATTATTATTATTATTATTATTATTATTGTTGTTGTTGTTGTTGTTATCGATCATTTACTCCTGGACCAATTACAGTGAGTTCGATCAGCCGCGTGCTGCGAAACCGATTCGGGAGGAAGGACGAGGACGAGTGTGACAAAAAGGACGGAGACGCAGAAAAAAGAAACAAACACAGCATAGACGGCATTCTGGGTGGCAAAGGTACGAGCGACCGCCTGCAGACCGCCTGCTGATCCGTCCTGAAGTGATAAACTCTCGACAAATTGGGCTCTTGTGGGGTTTATTTTTTATTTTTTTTATTTTGTCGCTCTGGGGTTTCGCGTTTTCCCAGCAGGCGCTCAATTATTTATGCGGTGGGATCGCTGAAGTGGATCCGGGTCCCCGGTGATGGTTGAACGTTCTGCAAAGCAGACGGGGGACTGCTGGCTGCAGTCAGACGGAGTTAGATCACTGACACACCGCGGGGGGCCGCGGCGGCCTGTTAGGAGCAGAGCAGGAGGTTTTCCTAATGTCTGAGACATAATAATAATAATAATAATAATAATAATAATAATAATAATAATAATAATAATAATAATAATAATAATAATAATAAATGGAAGGACCTGATGGCCAAACCTATAGACCTGCAGTTGGAATGATCGGCTTACAATGCATTAAATTAAAAATGCTAATAGATTGATATTAAAACACACTCTCCTCTTATTAAGTGAAAAATATTCCCCATTACTTTAAAGCCTGCCTCCTCCTTTGCACACACGGGAGAACATTCTCCTGTTTGCTCCCTGTCTTCCTGTCATCCAGGTCTTAAGTTTTAATAATTTGATGACTGAGCCTATTACAGCTGGTAATGAAACTAGAGTGTGATGAATAGGCGATTGTACAGGAAAAGGTGGAACAGCTCCAATACATTTATCCCCTTTCAGCTCTCACTCTCTCATTCCTGTGAACATGTTCCACGTTCAAAGGCCTTAAAGCAGATTAAATTGAGCCCTTTCTTTCTTTCCACTGTCATCCGTCTCGAGTGCGCGGCATGTTTTGAATTCAGGTTTTAATGTGTAAATCTGATACCATGTTTCTGGGGAAATTGTTGATAGCCTGCCTTCTGGCTGTGTCAAATATTTCTTTTTAAGCACAGAAATAAGATATGCTACATACAAGGTGTGAATGAGTTTTAAAGATGGCATCACTTTGACATCAAAAATAACAAAGAGAGGAAACAAAAGAGATCCAAATGACTGGAGATGAACTTCCCTGAATCCTTTTAATGAATTAATTGAATTCATATCAATTAATGTTTTATGCAGTTTGAGGAAAAACTCTCAAAAATGTGTTTTGAGTTTTATTAGGCACAACCCATGTACATAAAAAAAAAGTATATATATATATATATATATATATATATATATATATATATATATATATATATATATATATATATATATATATATATATATATATATATATATATGTCTGTGTGTGTTCATATGTGATTACACTGAGAATACAAAAAAATTTATTTACCTTAAATTCCTTGGTAACATGTTGGAGCCGAACCTCTAGAAATTCTTTGATGTTGATAAATATTTTGGGACATAATTCATAAAGACGGAAATTGTGAGTTGAGTTGCAGTTAGAGTATTCTTTGCCTACATGAGTGACAACACACGCTTTGTGCACAGTGGTATTTCAAACAAATGGCACATAGGGCACAGGAACAAGCATCCACATTCAGCGGCAAGTTGTAGCTATCAAAAGTAATTTTCCCCAGGCACACACTTTACTCCACACCATCTTCATATTTGAGCAGGTTGAAATAAGGGCCCAAATGTTTGGAGGGTGATAACACAATCATCCCAGCGTTGGTCTGGGGCTGTGTATCAGTTTATTAAAATGGGATTAATTTCCACTTCCTGCCCCCCTGGCTTGCACCAAAAATCCTCGTTTTAACGAATACTAAAAAAGTGGTGGTAATAAATCACTGAGGGATTTTTTTTTCAGCACTAATAATTTGATCTGTTTTACTGTCTCATGCATTCAGTGCTTTCCCCCCCTGACATCAACACATGTGAGCCAGAATCCAGACAATGTCTGACACAAAACAGGCGAATGAAGTCAAAATTATTTTAGAACTCGTTTAAATTCCTCTTGATTTTACATGCACATTTTAAGAAAATTCATAAAGTGATTAAAGCTGCAACAGAAGCGACACAGGGCTGCAGTTCACCCAGAAGGCCCCGAGATCAAATCTTGGCCTTGAGTATTTCTGCATGGAATTTATATGTTCTCTCTGTCCGTGCCTGGGTTGTTAAAAAACATGACTACATAAGGTTAATTAGTTGTTCAAAATTGCTCTTAGGTTTGTATGTGTGTGTGTGTGTGTGTGTGTGTGTGTGTGTGTGTGTGTGTGTGTGTGTGTGTGTGTGTGTGTGTGTGTGTGTGTGTGTGTGTGTGTGTGTGTGTGTGTGTGCATGAGTGTTTATTGTTGCTTTGTCCTTTGTCCTTGTGTTGCTCTGTCCAAAGTGTTTCTACCTCTTACCTCTTTTTTTGCAAGTGACATTTTTGCTGCTGGCCAAAGCAAAACAAACAATCCAAAAAAAAAATCACATACATAATTGCACAGCCTGTTCAACAATGGTTTTATGGATGAATTGAGTTGAAACAGGGCATATCTATTGAATATTCCTATTTTGATTCTGAAGAAAAATAGAACCAAGTCACATAAATAAATACACCACCTTTTGTATTTTATAAATTCAGCTTCAGCATGATTGACTTAAAATGAATATTTCTTATGGATTTTATAAAAACTGTGTGGAAAAAAAATAATTCATCTTAAGCGACACTGACTCTCAAGTCGACTTTTTTTCTTCTTTTTTTTCTGATAAACTGCCTAAATATTCAGGTTAGTCAGGATTTTATCTTTCTGTTTTTCTACAGATTTTGACATTTTTGGTGAATTCTTTTAGTTCTGCATTATTTTGCTAGAATAGTCTGGTTATCAGGCAATTGAATTTCTCCATCGGTTGCAGCGGTACGACTCGGTACCACTCTGCTGCCTCCCTCCCCACCACATCGCAGCGCATTTTCAGTCTACATGCTTACCACTGTCCTTCCTGGTAACCATCAAATGATGTTTGGAAGGCAGATTGCTTTATGATAATGACGTATCTCAATAAAATGATCGTGGAGCTTATTACCAAAATTGATGATGAAAGCAGACTGCTCTGCGTTTTCAACCAATCTGATGTCAGGTAAGTATAGAAAACAAGCATGTGAAGATTGATGTTGGAAAATCTTTTTTTTTTTCACATTTGGTTCTGCAAAACACTCAAACAGCTGCTGCAAGGGGGAAAAAAAGCGATAAGAAAGAAAAAAAAATGAACCCGGTCATTCTTTTGTGTCTGCACTGAAAGAGCTGATGAGCCTCCCCGAATTGTTTACTGAAACAGTACATGCTGCACACTTCATGAAAGAAGGCTGACAGTTTGTGAAGTGGCCCTATTGTTCCTTCAAGACAGAAGCGTGAATGGCTGTGTGCAGACTCCTGCAACCTGACATGATTCAACTAGACAACAGCAAAACGGGGAGAGAAAAGCTTCTCTCCCCAGACGTGTCGGCTGGTCAGCGTTTGTAATCTCCTTCCTTTAAATATCTACACCAGGGCATTGAGAAAACTGTTGAGTTTTGTTGCTTCTATTCAGATACGAGCAACAAAGAATCTGCTGCCAGTTTTTGGAGCGCGCAGGTTCATGTACCAGTGACAGCAAAAGATCCCAAAAAACATTTGGTGACGACTTTTCAGAAGTGTTGCATTTGGTTTGGAAACAACGAGATGGTTTAAGTTAATTAATAAAATAAGTATTAGTTTAAATGCAAGTAAAAGTAAGTAGAGTGTAGAGTATTTTTAGAAGTGAGGCTTTTTAAACTATCAATAAAAATGAGCGTATTTTATCTAATTTAGGCACATTTATGTTGCAGGATGTTGACCAATCTCCTCTGTCCTGTGAGAAAGAGATCCTTGACACAGATAATATTAACTTAAACAACTTTGGATGTTTTCTGGACAAAATCTTCTCTGGATTCATAAAGTGTGTTTTGTGTTTTTGCTGGTTTCAGGAGGCCAGTTGGAAGACGTGTCAGACGTAGAATCGGAACCGGATCTCCCTCTCAAAAGGAAGAAGCGCAGAAGTCGGACCACCTTCACAGCAGAGCAGCTTGAGGAGTTAGAGAAGGCTTTTGAAAGAACACACTATCCTGACATTTATACCAGAGAGGAGCTGGCCCAGCGGACCAGGCTGACTGAGGCCAGGGTTCAGGTGACACACAGACACATCCAGGGCTTCAGATCGGGCCGGGATGAGAACACTGCTCCATTCAAGAGCCATTTTAGCAAATCACTTAGGACAGCTTTTATTAGCTCAAAATCAGAAACACAATTACATTTTCAAATGTAAAACTTAACAACAAGATCACATTACAACAGCGTAAAAACATTAAATCATGAACATAATTAATTCAAACACAATCATGTTATAAACTGAAAGAAATGCAGATAAGAAGTTCAAAAAACAAGATGCAAAAATGCTATTTCTGATCAGTAATCCATCTTACACACAGTAAAACAATGGTCTGGTCTGTTTCATGTGGTTACATGAATAAAGTGTAGTGTGTGTTAAGATTAAAAGTAATATAACACACCAATGTAAAACGTGTGCATGAACTGCCTTTCATGTACGTTTCAAGGGAATATAATAGCAAAGTAACTTAAGTGAGGAAACTCAAGCTGCTGTGGGACTGGAACAGTCATAACCCAAGGCATCGTTCACTAGATCATCAACACACATTCATTCTTTTGAATGTTCTTGTTTTTAAAGGTGTGGTTTAGCAATCGCAGAGCCAGGTGGCGCAAGCAGGCAGGAGTCAGTCAACTGGCGGCATTCAACAACCTCTTGCCCAATGGGTTTTCTTCAACAGGGGTGTCAACATTTTCGACATATCAGCTTCCAGAATCAGGCTACTCCTCTCTGTCCCATGGTAATCCACACATCAAATGTCATCACTAGTTCTTTTCTCCACTGTGATATTCTTTATTTTTTTCTGTTCACCTTAGGATTTATGAAAGGACCTTTTAGGTGTAAAATATGGTAGTTTCCCAGCCAAAGCAGAAAAGTTGGCAAGTATGATCAGCTCCTTTTGCTGTTCCTTCTTCTAGGAGAGGGACACAGCTAAAAACTCTCAGTTTTAAAGTGTTTAAGATGAAAGAGAGCAATTAAGAGCTCAGAGAGCCAGTAGCCATGTCCAGGAGAGAGTAGGTATTAGATTTGGAGTATAAGCCAAGCACAGTACAACTCGCTGCTACCAGCTTCTCACTCCATATTTAAAGAGTAACTCTTTCAAAGGATAACCAGCAATATATCTGGTGTTTCTTTATTAACAGTGTGGAAGTAGAAAGTCAGAGAAAACGCTAAAATCTTCCCTTATTTAAGAATGAGAAATAGCTACTTAGATGTTTTCTCCTTACAAATAACTTCTGTTGCTTATATACACATTGTTGTATGATCATTTTCAGAAAATGATGACACAGTTCATCGTCCACAACCACCCGCTGTGCATCAAATCGGTTTGTCCAATGCGGACAGCGGTCCTTCCTACGCTCTTTCCTCCAGCTGCAATGGCTTCCCCACTTATTCTGATTCCTTTGTGAGCTCTGCAGCTCAGAGCAATCCTGTTAACAGTGGACTTTCACAACAGGTAAGGCCTTTCGGGTCATTGCTGATTGGCTCGGTCTGATTAAGTATGTGTACATATGTTTTTAACAACTTACAGGAAACTAAATTTTATTCAGGGAATTGCCTCAATCTGATGACTCATAGACATGGCTCTATGTTGCTGCCCCCAGAGTACAGAGGAGGTGCGCTTTAATAATACCAGCACCCATTTTTACCAATTCCAAAAAAAAAAAAAAAAAAACCTCAAGGCACCACTTACCTTGCGTATTTTGCTGTGAGTGGTAATATTGTTTGGTAATAACACGCTTGATAATTTCTACACCTTGACATAAGAAGTTTGACGACAATCTTTAAGCACCTCTTCTTTCTTTTCGCAGGTTATGAGCATCATGGGTAACTCATGTCGTATTTCCTCAAAGCCACACCATGACTTCTCCCTGTCACCTCGCCCAAGGTCTTTGGACTCTGCTTTATCCAACATAATGGCCGCCAACGGCAGTCAACAGTCAGCTGAGGTCTCTGCTAAGTTGGCGGAGAGCTTTCATTCATCCGAATCTTACTCCCCAACCACATATGGCACCACCAGCTACAGCATGGACCCAGTTGTGACAGCCGCCAGCTACCAGTACAGTCAGTATGGTCAGAGTGAGTGTTGTTTTATTACATGTGTTAAAGCTTTTAAAGCTGCAGAATGCAACTTTTATTTTATTTTTTTAAAGGTATTTTTTATGTGTTTGTTTAAGCTGTTGCTATTCAGTAGAATATGACAATGATGATCTATAGAAAGACTTGAGTTCTCTGCCTCGTTCTATGGTCCTGCTGTCATCTGTTGAAATATGCTGCTGCCAAACACTTTGTGTATGCGCTGCTCAGATCCCTCTTCTTTCTCTCTGCTGTTCTACGGCTGCTTCACCTCAACTGAGTCAGCCATGAATGCTCAGACTATTTATCATGGTAACTGATGGGGCAGAAAAACGGTTTTCCTGAAATGTTGCTCCTCTACCATCAGCCCATTGATCAGTGATTGATTGATAGTGGTAAAACCGTCCAATAGCAACTCAGGGAGGAGGTGATGGAGCTCGAACTATTCACAGATTAATCGTTTTTGAGAATTCAATTTGATTCAGTTTATTTCTATAACTCCACTTTATAAATGTCATTTCTAGGTACTTGATGAAAAAAAAATCCTTTCAATTCAATAATAAATACATTCCGATAGATCCTAGTGATCAAAACTTTGGTACAGTACTTCATAAATTATTCTTCAAAGCAGGTTTAAAAGTTCCTATGTGAGGAAACAACACGGATTGTATTGAATTTTTGACGTGCAGCATCACTCCTCCCCGACAAACACATAGCAACAATCGCTTTCTTATGTCACTTATGTCTTTGACTTTACAGCAGTCGCATGTGGCGACAATAGAGAGGAAAACCTCACTTTTAACACAAAGAAATGTCCAACAGAACCAGAACTGGGCTTAGTCCAAGTATCCATCCTCCACAACGGAGAAGTCAGAGCAGAATACACAACAAGAAACAACAAGCATGTAAAATTAGTTGATGGCAGCATTATCTCAGTCTCAGTTCTGTATTCAGCCTGTTTATTCAGCGTGTTTATGGACTGAACAGGAAATCTGAATTTTACAGTGAAAATGAATGGCAAGAGTGCAGAGCCCTGTGGTGCACCTGGGCTGCTGACCACCTGTTTATATATTTGACCTTTCATTCTGACCTTGCGGAGGCACCTGTTTGTCAGGCTGTCATTGATCCAGGTGATTTTTGGAGCTTCCACTTTTGTCCTCTGGGGTTTCTGATGAAGAAGCTGACTTGTGTTAAATGCAGAGGAGAAATCAAAGAACTTTGTTCTCACAGTGCTGCTGTGTTTACATGACACTGGGTTTGATACCAACAAGAAAACAAAATGGGAGTCTTTCTGATATCATTGTAAACATGATGCTAAGATTTGAAATCTTCTGGATCAGGAAAAGGCCCAGCTTGTGGAGAAATCCACAATTTTTCCAGTATTATTTCTGGAAAAGATAAAGTATCTCTAAAACAATTACTGTATTAGCACACTACTTTTGCATGATATACAATGTAACACTGTTTTAAGCTGTACAGAAACAAGACAGGAATGTTTGATGGAAGCAGGAAGCTCACACAGAAAGCTCTTTTTTTCTGATAGCTGGTGTTAATTCTCAGCAAATATTTACTTTGTTATTGACGTTGCTCCTCCCAGGTTCATCTGGTGATGTCTTCTCAGACAGAACCAGTGACAGTGGTGATATTATAGGATCTGTGTATGTTTGGGCGTCTGGGAGGAGACATGCAGCGTCTTTCAGATCAGAAAGAAAACTGTCACACCTTTGCTAAGAAGTTGAAAATAAATAACATATATGCATGGGCAGGACTATCTGCCAAGATGCCATTTACCGAAAGAGCTGGTGGGGGGCAATATTTGTGTGTGTGGGAAGAAGGATTGGGACAACGGAGGTGGGGGTGGGTGCTAAGGGGGGAGGCGATTTGTGGAAGGGCTTAGTGACAGGGACCCTTTAAGAGAATGTTTTTCCTGCCAGCCAGGTTTACGCCTTAAATCCTCTGTGAGGAGGCAAACAGATATTCCCTGCCTGTGAGATATAATGTGTTTACACATAAGCACACTTATGTCCATGTCAGTTATTTCACTCCTGTGGACTCTGACATCTACTGTACTTCAGTATAGCAAAGGTCACATGTCAGAGTAAAGTGCTAAAAATGACTGCAGAGATTCCAGCTTGGAATGGAGATCAAAACCAGTTTATCAAATTCACTGTTGGAAAACTCGAAATAGAGATCTCAGATAACAGAGAAATAATACAAAAATGAATTTAACTAACATTTTGCTTTAACTTCTTAAAGATTTTATGATCACACAAAGTGTGATCATAAAATCAGTTTATAACATGATATATATATATATATATATATATATATATATATATATATATATATATATGCCATTTATATATATATATATATATATATATATATATATATATATATATAAGATTATGTATATATAGTGGCAATTTACAATTTACAACAATTGTCATCTCAGGGCACTTAAAAAAATAATTTCAATTCAATCATACATACTTTTCGATTGATCCTACTTATGAAACAGTATACAGTATGTTCAATGAAATATTCAAAGTTGATTAAAACGTTTCTACCTAAGTAAATGCAGCAGATCATATCGAAGTATTGATTTGATCCAATCTGCTTGTAAAGAATATTTTAATAGATAGCATTCATTCTTTTTCGTCACTTTGAACTTTTCAGCTCAGGAAGGCCTTATATGGTCTCTGTGATAATAAAAACATCTATCAGAAGTAATTTTTCCCACTGCAATAAGCCTTTCTAACCAAACTAAATATGACAACATTTACCTTTGGCATACAAAATGGTTTATTCTATCGACAAAATGCTGCTATTTTGATTGCCTGAGTGTTTTCTTTTATAGTTTTAGAGCTGAATAGTTTCATCTTATATTTGTGATGTTTGTGATAAATAAAAACACATAATTATGTAAACTTTTTTTTTTTTACATCTTTCATTATATTTCTTACCCATGGGGGTTGCCACATTTTTGCTTGCACAATGCATGCTGGCTTGATGACATAGTTGGATCAAAGGAAGGAACAGGAGCAGCAGAGTTTAGTAAACACAGGAAGATTAACTTCCCGAGTTGTTTTTCTATCATGTTGCATTTGACTGGTGTAAATTTAGACAATACAATACTGTATTGCTGTTGGCTGTAATAAAAAAAAATAGATATAATCTGCATTGTTTCTAAGATGAAAAAACAAAAAGAAGAGTGCAGTGGGAAGGAGTCAAACACAACTTCCAAAACACCTACATTTGTGCTCTCAACATTTCTCTCCAGAAGACTTCGAGTTATTTTTACGAGCAAAATGAATGAAGGATGATTTGAGTGATGGTTGCTACCCTTGCAAGTTAAAAACAAATGTTGCGCTGACAATTTGCATCCACAAATCTCACCACTGGCTACCGAGTGAAAGACACTGGGAGAAACATCAGAGACAGGCAGAAGTGGGAGCTCTTAAATCATAGCAATGCTATTGCCACTGCCACTGGTACTGAATGTGAAACTACAGAACTGACACCAGACCAGACCCAAAAAGGTGTTGCCGGACTAAAGACTGGACCTGACACAGAGCCACAGAAGTACTTACCGGATCACACAGTACGATCAGAGGTACGTGTCAATCATTATTTCATTCATGAAGCTGAAGTTGGCAGCAGCACAACCGCCAGCTTCTTCGATTAACTCTTTCCTCTTCCTTCATTTGGTCCTCCTCATCTTCATTAGCACTTGTGATTTTCTACGCTGCCATCAATGTCAACTTGATCCGGTTCAAATAGAAAAGACTTACTCTTTGCTGTTTTGGCTGGATGAAGCGAGCATAATCGGACATGACATACGTCATTTACCCAGAATCCATCACAGTGGAATGAACATGGCGGCATCCATGGCAATATTTTATTTAAATTTATAAAAATCAAACAGCCCACAGAGTTCTGCATAGTTTTTACATCTAAAATAAATATTTCTCAAATAAACCTCAATGTCATCTGTAATTATAAACAGTGCAGTATATATCGAAACAGTATTAAGTTTGTTTCAGGTATTTTAGAGCTTCCATTATGATTATTATCATAAAAATCAATTTAATGTTACAACTGCATGGAGGCTGTTGCAACTTAATTTAGTTTTCTTCATAATCTTGCTCTGGATTTAATTAAGCTCAGTATACCAAAGAGACTTTGACATTGTGAGGCTGTTGTTATGACTCGTTCATCATTGTTTTTATCTTCAACATATTTTTGCAGTCTAAGCAAATGAAGATGAAAGGGGACTTTCCTGTCTCAGAAGAGGCTCTGGGTCCACCAGACCACCATCCAGTTCTGAGGATGAAGCTCCACATCGTCTTCATGGTGGAAGACGGTTTTCTTTAGCAGTTACCTGCTCAGCAGTACGGCTGCATTTAAAATGTGTGTTTCCAACACTAAGTGCTCAACAGACCTCTTGATTTGAAAATAATTTATTCCCCTTCTTAATCTGCCATTGCTCTTTCATACATTTTATTTATTGTCAGCTTTTACCCTGCAGTGGTCTGGTGACCTGTCCAGGGTGAACCCGGCCTCCCACCTGTTGACTCCTGGAGATGGACAGCAGTCCTTCTTATCATCCTGCAAGGACATGTGTGTTGGCTAATGGAAGAATGGAAAGCTTTAAAGGTAGTTTGTCCCCCTTAAGTCTCCAAACTGAGGAACCACACTTATGTTAATGCATTAAGTGATTTTATAATGCTATTTTTTCTACTTCTACCAGGCATCCGGTCCCAATCATCATCAGTTCTTCTGATGCCACATACATAGCGATTCCCCAACGTCTTTAAATTGTAAATTATACATTTTTTCTGTACTTTTTAAAATATAAGTGCTTTCTCTCTTTAATTGCATTACTGTTCTTCTTTGTAGGTTTCTGTAAAGTGCAGTGGTGCAGTGAATGGGAATGTTCTGTCATTAACGCTCACTGCTTTAAGGAGAAATGTCAGTTTGTCTGAAGTTATACTGAAATCCTGTGACATTGAATTAAAACAATATTTTTAAATTGTATTTGGTGAAATATTTTTTGTATTTCCTCTAAAGTGCACTTCAGAGGCACCTGCACAGACAATATGCTAATTTTACATTTTGCAGCATATTGTCTGTAAACTTTTAATATTGACAGTACAACTCTGCGTTGGTAAATTGCCAATGTACTCTTGACTATGTGACTATATTTAATTCAAAAGTACATTTTGTCACCTGGAGGATATGTTGAGTAGGTCCTTCAACCTTCAGTGTAATGGTATTTAATATATTTACTGCAGTACTGTAGTGTGTAGTGAAGCATGTAATGCACAAAGTAAAAAAGAACCAGTAGCTAAAAAGTGTACTTCCTTACACTTAATTTTTACTCATCAAGCATCTTAATAAAATATTAACAGCCATATGCTTAAAGTGTACAAAGAATACTTGAAATTGTTTCAGTTTAATGCACAATAATACACTTAATGCGCATCAAACTGTGATTTTCAAAAATGTAATTACAACTAAAATATATTAAGTACAAATACAGTTGTTTCAAAATAATATGTTTTAAATCAAATAATTGTTTACACACTTGAAGTAAACTGGGTATCAGTCTGGCTTCAAGTATTTGAAGATTTAATATATTTATTTTTCATAAGGTTAGTTCAGGAGTTTGGTCTTGACAAACCCAGAAATAAACACGCAACATTCTGCAATACACTAAACAGAATTCAGGAGCTTAAACTCATTCCACCACTGTCCTGTTATTTTTTCTTTTTTCAAAGTACACTGGCTGTTTGCACTGTGAAAATAATTTGTCTTTTAATTTTCTATTTTGTCACCTGTCTGTTCCCAGCTGCTGTGGATTACTTGGCAAAGAACATTAGCCTCTTCAGTCAGCACAAGATGAAGTTGACCAATCACTCGGCTGTGCTGGGAATGCTGCATGTCAGTACCGGTCAGGCCTACTAGTACTTTAAACAAACAGCAGCAAACCTGGCTGCCAGCAGCCCCTACAACTCCTGCTGCAACACAAAACTCACACAGAGGTTCCCCGCCAATGGAAGTGTTGTTTTTCCTGCAGACGAAGAGCCACAACACCTCTTGAAATATCCCTTTTACTAAATGTTTGGCACTTGGTGTGGAGAGTTTAGACTTTCCGTGGTGGTTCATGGGGCACCGATGCAGTTCTACATTTGTATTAAATAGCTACGTTTGTCTTGTTTGGTCTTTTAGGGAATGTAAATGTTGCAAACTGTGGTTGTTTTTGAAAACATGCTATTCTTTTGCCACATAGTGACCAACATTCATATGAAATAACAGCAGGAAGGAAAGAGACAGTGAGCTCGGGTTGTTCCAGTGTTTATTCATCATTCTTTTAAGTTGTACAACTTAACTTAACCATTACGTAAACTCAGTAGCATCAAAATGAATAATATCAATTTTCATTTGCTTTATATGTATATACTAAATGTGTGTGCAACTGAAGAAATTTTAAATTCTGTGCCAGTATTCCCATTACGTGATAAAGTTTTTATTATTATTATTATTCAAAAGTTTTATTTCTTCAGCTGGAACCATCCCTAAATTTATACTAAATTAATCTCTTTAAATTAATTTCTTATTTATTTAATATTTGCTTGATACAAAAACAAATAACACTGGTTTTGTACAAATAGATATAAACTGTATTTTATTTGATCATTTTCTACAAAATAAGAACTATGTTTGCTCATTTCCTGCCTCCAGCTAATTCATTTTGCTCTCACTGCAGTTCCTGTTGTGAGCAGGTTGCACCTGGTCTATAACCTTTGAGTTATTCTAAAATACTTACTGAGTCAGGGGTTACACATGATGTGGAGAGCAGTCAACATCGGTGTAAAACAAGTCAGTGACAGGATGAAAAAAAAAAGGATGAATAAAATGATGTGTATTTTGTGCCTTACACAAGTATGGAGAGGCGCTGGCAGGAATTAAAAAGTCCCATCTAAAGATTCATTACTGACTTTCACAGGCTGAACTGTAGGAGCTCAAATATTGATACTGTTATTGATAGCTTATTGATTGATGGATGCACATCGATCAGTGTTTACAAGACCATCGAGAAGCAGACAGAAGAATATGAGAGGAGGTTGTGACTGAAATAGTAAAGAAGCTGTAGACCTGATTGTTCCTGACCAAACTAAATTATTTGAATCAGTTTGTCCGGGTTTAGAGCTGCACACTGGGTCAAAGATGAGTCAAATTTGGTTTTAAAAAATCACTTCCAATCACATTATCTATGTGGAATGAATGCATTTACATAGTTTTCAAAAATACCCCATCTGTTATTATTTGAAATGAAAAAAAAAAATTCTGAAGCGAAAAAAATAAATGTAAAACTGCAAAAAAACAATTTGTCCAGTTTATGATTTTGTATACTTGGTTTTTACCTTTGTGAAAATCTTCATGCTTCCATTTTTCTTTCAGACTCATGAATTTTTCCCAATAAAGAATATTTCTCTTTTTTCAAAATTACTTTTTATTTTTAGATCTTAAAATGACACGACTTGCCATCAACACTAATTACACGAAACTTGATGGTGGGGTGCTACTTGCAAGTGATATTAAAACCTTTTCCACCGGCTGACTAATAATGTGGGTTTGAAAACTCTGATTTTCATCTATCAGATTGGGAAGAAAAGCTTCTAATCTTGTTACCAATTCAATTAATTTGTGGTCAATATTAAAGATAGAGATTGATCTAGAAGATCTGCAATGCCTCATATTTTTACCTTCTTTTGATAGGACAGATATGGAGTTCAGTTTATTGTCCTTATTGGTCAAAATAAATAAATAACATCAGAGTAAAGACCCCTGTCCACAACTTAATGCAGGGGGTTCAGAGGTTCAGGGCTCGATCGCTACAGTTTTAGGTTTTCAGGCTCAAAGTTCATTTGCCAATGCAATTATGCGATTATTAATAAGTCATTGCTGTAGTTGATTAGCTACCAGGTAGATTAACTACCGCAATCTACCACCGCTGTGGCAGATTAGCGCATTTAAATACCTTCACCTCTGCAACGAGAGGCTGCTGCTCAGTTCTCCTGAAGGATGAGACCGAGACAAGTACAGGAGAAGAAGGGCGACTGGTTTTTATCTCTTCCTGAGCTGCTCCCTCTAAGGAGTTTCCTTTTGTGTCTGCGTGTGTGTGAGCGTGTGCGCCCTTCTTATCTATGTGTGGCTCCAAGGACTTAGAGGTGTGTGGGTAAGTTGCAGGAATGTGTGTGCTGAGCAAGAGAAGAAAGTAAAGTATCTAAACAGTATAATGAAGCATGCAAGGTCATTTCATCTATGTAGGTTGCAAATCTAATTTATACAGAAAGAAATAGAGGATCAACTCTCTAGCACAGGGGTGTCACACTCACTTTCATTTTTGGGTCACATCAAGACCTTGTTTGGGTCTGGGGGGTTATTTGGGTTTTGTTCATTTGTTTGTTTCTTTATTCCTCTTTTATTTGCATCAGTCCTGTTTCTGTTTTACTTTAGTTCAGTTCTTCTTAGTGTTTCTAGTTATGTTTATTTCTAGTTATTCCGAGTTCCTCTAGTTTTTCTCCAGGTGTGTTACTAATAAGGGAATAACATTTCAGCACAATGTAGAGCTCAAAACAGTTGATTTTTCACAATACTTTCCCTTTAAATGAAATTCTTAAAACTCTTGTCTCTAGGGGATGAATATTTTTTCCCCCTTTTCACCTTTTTTATTTGCAAAAAATGTTTTGAATCATGTGTAATTTTGCTGTACAACACTCTGTGTTGTTCTTCCACATTCGGTTCCAATGAAACAGATTTATGTGTTTCCGGTTGTAATGTGATAAAATATGGAAAAGGTGGATGTATTGACTTACCGTCTGCATGGTTTATTGAACCTGAAGCAGTTTGTTTCTGCATCTACATTTAGCAACAGAATACAAAATGGAACATCAGCAGTGACTGAAAACTATCACTGGCTAAAAGGACACAAAAGGTAAAACAATTTTTAAAAACTGTCCTGTTCTCCTTATTCCTCATTTACGTTGCAGTGAAACATGAACAGCATTTAAATAATTCCTCTATAAATCAAATTGAAGTTAAATTTACCAAAGGAGAATGGAGAGGAAGCATTTCAGGTCAGAATTTTGAGAAGGAAAAAAAAAACGCTTTCCCTTATTTTAATTATTTTTTTTTTTCCACTAAAGCAGCTTTTATATTTCCAGGCTATTTGTAATTTTCAACAAACCTTTCTAGGGTTCTATTTTTGGTTAAAGGAAAAACCTAAATATTTGCTGATCCTTTTGGATTTGTTGAAACTGTACCATGCCAGTTGACAAGCTGCCCAGTCAAAGAGCTTATTTCTGCAACATTTGACAGCAGCTGAGAATGAAAGCAGACCCTTTTCTCCTTGACAAAAGGAGGCACCGAGTCATCTGCCCATCCTTCAGATGTCTTTATTTTCCAACGTTCAGGACTCCATTTCCTTGAATTTCCTGCATATAATTCAGAACATTTCTTTAAAAAAAAAAAACACACACACAAAAAAACAATTATTATTATTAAATACATAAGTGTGTTTTGTGAAGCTGCATCGTGTGGGTGGATGGGGGCTTGGGTTGGAGAGAGGGGCTCCCCCCTCGCACGCTCAGCCCCCTTCCACCTCCTTATCTCATGCCGACAGTAGCAGGAATCACAAGCAGAGGCCTGAGTTAGAGAGGCAGGCAGGCAGGCCTGGGGATATGGATCAAAGAGACAGAACTGGAAACCCAAAGCAGCTCTGATCCCCTACAACACCATCCTCACTCACTGGTTCTCACACCAGCATCATGCAGGAAGCGTAAAAGCTTTACTCCACCGATGTGGACTAAGTCGTCCTCTCACAACATTCCAGTGTGAAAGCGTGACCATAACAGGAGAACCTCATCTTTTTGATTATTTTGTGATTAGCTGAGGTCACGTATGAGATCATAGTTAAAGATTTGCTTGCTGTGTGATTGAGGAGAGACATTTTTTTCCCTGTGAGAAGGATGTAGTGTAGGCTGTTGTTGGTGGAGGGGGTTGCTTTAAGCTAACGGCTTTAAGTGAATTTATCCAAATAAGTTCACTTTGCATCTTTAAAGAGAGCAGCTAGAACTTTAAATGCAAAGCTTAAGTATTTTATTTGTAACAAAAATACATTGGCAGGGGCAGCGTTTAAGACTTTGTCCCTCTGGCAGTAAAACTTCAAACTATTTATTAGTGAGAAGTCTAACTGTGACAAAACTTTGGTACACATGTCCAGGGTTATGGTTATATCTTTGGTTGTTTGAGTTTGTTTTGGGTTTTGTTATTATTTGTGCTCCAGTTTCTTTCTGCTTTTGATTCTGACTTGCTTCTGTTTTCACTCCAGCCCCTTAGGGATTCTAGTTACGTTTATTTATTGTGTCAAGTCCTCTCCTAATTACTCTGGTTGTGTTTCTTTCTCTAGTTACTACTGAAGAAATAACTGCTCCAACAACAAGCCTTACACTGAACAGCTGTTGTTTTTGATTCTTGCATAATGGAGAGTCTTTATTTGCTCTCCAAACTGCATTCTGGTGATGTCTTCTGATTACTTGAGGTCTTCTTTTACCTCCTGTTCTTCCAGTGCAATGGACCAAGTTGACCTCGTCTTCCATAACTGGCTCCCAGTACTGGCTCCTCGTCTTTGGAAAGATCTGAAGAAGAAGCCAGTTGATTTCTGTTTCCTTAAGACCTGAGAGCATCAGCAAGGGAAGGTTCTGCTTCCGTCGCTGTTTTTTTTTTTTGGCTGGTGGGGAGTGAGATATAGATGGCGTCTTTCTATCCCTCGTGGGGTCACCAGGGGTGCTCAGGCAGGGTCACCTGGACAGGTCACCTGCACAGGTCATCTGGACAGGCCGCCAGTCCATCGCAGAGCAACACAGAGACAGACAGGACAAACAAACCATGCTTCGCAAGTGCATGCTTGTTTACCAGGCATGCACTCAAATGTGCTGTGGTGGTGCAAGGGTTAAGCACAACCCTTGCATATAGGCCTTAGTCCTTGATGTGACTGACACAGGTTTGATTCCCAGCCTGATGACCATTGCTGCATGTGGTCTCATTACTCTTTCCTGTCAATTCACTATTGAATGAAGTCCAGTAAAACATTCTCGTTTTTAATGCATGCACACACATAAGCAGAAAGACTTCAGCCAAAAGAACATCCCTTCTGTGTTCAGGTCTTTAAAACAGACTGGACAGAAGCAAATATGCTGCCATCTAGTGAAAGTTTGGTGCAATTGAAAATATATGGCAAGCCTTTGAAATAAGCATTTTTATTCATTATAAATTATTCCTTTCACCTTAAAACTGTTGAAACTTCCTTCAGTGCATCAGTGTCACATATAACTAAACTTTTACTGAAGTTTACCGTGCAAAAATATTTTTAAATTTTAATTGCTTAATTTAGAGTTTTGGCTAATCACAGTTAGTGTGTACCTTTGTATTTAATTTGTATTTCTTGTATTCTTTTGTATTTGCGCACTGTATGCCACTTTTCTGCCTGTAAGCTGCTGGTAACTTCAATTTCTTGAGGGAGTCTTCCCAAGGGATCAATAAAGTACAAGTCTACGTCTAACTCTAAGTCTAAATGCCTGTAAAAGATCATCTAACATTCATGAAGCAAGAGTTTACATATTGTAAAACTGAACAACTTCACTACAGTAAGTCTAAATTATATAATTAAAACAGGAAATCCTGTTAAATAGTCATTAATAGAAAATTAATTAACATTTTACAGTTAAGAATTTTATCCACTTTATATTCATATGAAGTGGAGGAAATATGTATTTGATCCTCTACGTACTTTAAATTTTTTATACAAAAAAAAATTAATTTAACACCTCATAATTTTACACAAACTTTATTTTAACAGTGACACAAAAGAAAAACTGAACATTACATAAAATGAGAAAAAAATTATTTGCATTTTATGGAATCAAATCAGTATTTGAGTCCCAGTGAAACATCGTTTAATACTTTGTGGCAAAACCTTTGTTGGTGAGCGCAGCAGCCAGACGCGTCTTGCAGCTTTTCAGCCAAGAGACACCATCACACACAAGTGCAAGCAAATTTGCTCAGGGGTCATTTGTAAACAGCTGATAGCATAATGACTATGACAGCTTATAATATATTTTTTTTCTTGTAAAATGTCAATTTTTTTTCTTCACCAAATGTCAATGGTTTTAAAAGCACACAGCTCTCTGTGATGAGTAGCAAAACAAAGACAACGCTCTCTCTTATCACACCTGGACATAAATATATATATATATAGAAAAATTAACATGATGACGGTGAAAATGAGCCAAAATACCTCCACAGGTAATGCAAATAAGGAATGCAACTGGTTGCTCTCTTTGTCATAAACACAATTCAAATGACTTCTGAGTAAGTGATTTTACATGAACTAGTTTCTTTCTGGACATCAGAGGAATCACGACTTGGTCATTTCCTTTAAGGACGGATTATTTAGTTATGTTTGCTCCAAAGCAAGAGCCTATCTCAAAACATGAAACATTTCTTTTAAAATCCCAATCATCAGAGCCTAAAATGAAGGTGCTGAATCGAACCTGACCGGTTCAGGTCTTTGAATCAAACTGACAGAAGCAAATATGCTGCCATCTAGTGAATGTTTGGTGCAATTGAAAATATTTGGCAAGCCTTTGAAATATGCATTTAAAATGCATAAGTTACAATGAACTTTTATTCATTATAAATTATTCCTTTCAACTTAAAACTGTTGAAACTTCCTAAAGTGCATCAGTGTCACATATAACTAAACTTTTAATGAAGTTTACCGTGCAAAAATATTTTTAAATGCCTGTAAAAGATCATCTAACATTCATGAAGCAAGAGTTTACATATTGTAAAACTGAACAACTTCACTACAGTAAGTCTAAATTATATAATTAAAACAGGAAATCCTGTTAAATAGTCATGAATAGAAAATTAATGAACATTTTACAGTTAAGAATTTTATCCACTTTATATTCATATGAAGTGGAGGAAATATGTATTTGATCCTCTACTGACTTTAAATTTTTTTATACAAAAAAAATTAATTTAACACCTCATAATTTTATGCTAACTTTATTTTAACAGTGACACAAAAGGAAAACTGTGAAAATGACATAAAATGAGAATTTTTTTTTTTTTTTGCATTTTATGGAACAAAATCAGTATTTGAGTCCCAGTGAAACATCGTTTAATACTTTGTGGCAAAATCTTTGTTGGCCAGCGCACCAGCCAGACGCGTCTTGCAGCTTTTCATAAGGTGAGCGCAGAGTCACTCCTGTCTGCAGCTCAAATCCAAATCTTTGAGGGTTTTAGGCGTGCTTCAGCTGGTGAGGCCGTTCCAGGATGTTGGTATGCTTCCTTTGGAGCCACCACTTTGTTTCCTTGGCTGGGTGTTTTGGGTTGCTGTCATGATGGAAGATCCACCCAGGACCCATTTGCAACGCCCTGACCGAGACCAGGAAGTTCTCATCCAGGACTTTGCCATACCCGGCCTCCTTCATCTTCCCATTGATGCGGTGAAGTTGGTGAAGTTACATATTTGGGCAAATCCAATCAAAAGAATAAAATGAAAAGAAAAGCAGAGAATGTGGGCTATAACCTGCGATGTTGATATCAATATATTTAAAGATATATATTGTGATATCATTCACTGACAGTAAAGTGCAGCCCTACTCTCTGCAGTAGGTTACCATGGCCACCGACGACAGCAGATCCTCCTGGTTCTGATTGGTTGATTTTTTTTAAGAGGATCTTGAATTTTTTTCACAGAATATCTATAACCACAGTGGCAGTTTAAACAAACATGTAAAAAAATATGTTATTTTTCAATAACAGATTTAAAAAAACAGCTTTGAAGCAGTTTTTTCCACTCCAGTATATCCAGTATATCCAGCGTACTGGATATACTGGAGTCACCATTTAACACAATCAGCTTCAATTATAATCTTTGGATGAATGTGACTGAATGTGATTGTGGCCCATTAAATTTTTTGTAAAGTCGAGGTTCTTTGTAATTCAGGTCAATATAAAAATATTGTAAAAAAGGACAATTCGGATTCAGTTTGTGTAATAAGTGATCTTAGTTAATACAACCACCAACCATTAATTAGATATATTAAAGCATAACATATATGGAGAGGCCAACAAACAATAAGAAAATCAAATAAGATGCGTATAAAAGAAATGACTTTGAATCCAAAACTGTATAGTTTGGACAAGACTTCAACATCGAGACAACAGGAGAGACACTGTGCTGCTGTCTGCTGCTGTCGGCTCCTCTGAACAGAAATGGGAGTAAGAAGTCAGCCACTTCACTGGGCAGTCTCTGAAAACACAAAGCGTGAAAGAGGTGGGACGGATTCTACATGAGTCTGCAATGTGTTCCAGCAAACTGCAAAAAATCCTCAACTATTTTTACCGGTGATACTTTTGCCCCTTCCTTCTCTGGTACTCCGTTTCATCCACTGTCCACACAGCTCCCTTTTCTCCTTCCACTCGCACAAAGCACTTGTGAAGGCTGAGATTGTGGCGTATGGCATTCTGGGAAGACGAGCAAGGAAAAGGTTTTGTTTTTTGCTACAGGGGATTCTGTGAGAGAGATGAAACGTGTGCAGAAAGAATTCGTTGAAACCTTCCATGTTGCTGTGTTGTGTCTGAAGTAGAAGAACATGGTGGTGAACCAGTTGTAAATCTCATTTAGAGTCCTCTGTTTGTCTGGAGACTCCAAGATAGACTACAAAATAAAGGTCACAGATAAGGGCAACTTATTGCAAGAAAGTATCAAGTGCCCTCACACTCATACTAAGCCAACAACTGACTTATACTGCATGCATTGTTCTGAACCTTGACGTCATTTAAAAGAAAAATCTATTTGCAAATCTGGTGTAAACTGGAATGTACTCACCCATCTTATCAGGTAAGCATAAGTGTATGGAGGCCTGATGTTGTTGTATTTGTAGCATTCAATACCTGGAAACAAATCTGCAAAATAGCAATCACAGGTCAACAAGCGAGTAAAGAAATACAAGGACAAATCAAACAATTTGTTAAACTTTGGTGACAAGTTAGTCCACAACAACGCAATGTGTCCAGCATCTGAAGTGTGAATCATAAGCAGCTAAGAATTTTATCCACTTTATATTCATATGAAGTGGAGGAAATATGTATTTGATCCTCTACGTACTTAAAAATTTTTTATACAAAAAAAATAATAATTTAACACCTCATAATTTTACACTAACTTTATTTTAACAGTGACACAAAAGGAAAACTGAACATTACATAAAATGAGAAAAAAATTATTTGCATTTTATGGAATCAAATCAGTATTTGAGTCCCAGTGAAACATCGTTTAATACTTTGTGGCAAAACCTTTGTTGGTGAGCGCAGCAGCCAGACGCATCTTGCAGCTTTTCAGCCAAGAGACACCATCACACACAAGTGCAAGCAAATTTGCTCAGGGGTCATTTGTAAACAGCTGATAGCATAATGACTATGACAGCTTATAATATATTTTTTTTCTTGTAAAATGTTGATTTTTTTTCTTCACCAAACGTCAATGGTTTTAAAAGCACACAGCTCTCTGTGATGAGTAGCAAAACAAAGACAACGCTCTCTCTTATCACACCTGGACATATATATATATATATATATATATATATATATATATATATATATATATATATATATATATATATATATATATAAATGTACATATTTATATATATATATATATTATACATTAATATATATATATATATATATATATATATATATATATTAATGTATAATATATATATTAATATATATATAGATATGTAAATTTTTCTATATATATATATATATATATATATATATATATATATATATATATATATATATATATATATATATAGAAAAATTTACATATCTATATATTTATATATTAATATATATATTATACATTAATATATATATATATATATATATATATATATATATATATATATATATATATATATATATATATATATATATATATATATATATATATATATATATATTCCTCTCTAAAGATTAAAGATTAGACAGGAAACCTGTCTAATCTTTTTATATATAAATCGCCATTATTTTAGACTGTGGCAGGAAGCCGGAGCGCCCGGAGAGAAACCTGCAAATTTCTTTTTGATATGTCATTTTTGAAATTTAATTACAAAATGTATGACTGACATTTTGTATTTACATGTCAGAAATACATTTAATTATTTCTGAGACTTAATTCTGAAGTAAAGGCTCTTGGGAAGAGAATTATGAGAGAGGAGATTCAAACCCAGGACTTTGTTGCTGCAAGGCAACAGTTGTCCCAACTGAGCCGCTGTGCAACCGTTTTGTTCACAAAATTAATGTTTTATTCACATCTAAGGAGAATTTAGAGGCCAATTACCCAAACAGTCATGATTTTAGACTGTGGCAGGAAGCCGGAGCGCCCGGAGAGAAACCTGCAAACAGGAAACCTGTCTAATCTTTTTACCCATCCATCCCAGAAAATTTTTAGCACCTAATTTAGAAATTTCTAGCTCCTCTCAGCTTTAACGCTATTGAGAGGAGGGGCTGTAATGGCCCCCTAATTGAACTACCAACACCTGAGAAAGAAAGGAGGAAGAGCAGCACAAAGTAAGATTTGTTCATTTCAGATCCATCTTACTTTGTGCTGCTTTTCCTCCTTTCTTTCTCATATATGTAAAGAAATCCTGTCCTCTTCATGTCTTCACTGCAGACAGCCGCTGCAGTGAAGACATGATCGTCCATTGCTTTTACTACTTGAGGTCCATGTGGTATGCAAGTATAAAACTTGGTCTGGTCAGACCCACTGCAGATGACCGAGGACAAATGATATACCTCTGGTCCATGCTCTCCTGGGACTGTCAATGTCTGGTTGGTTTAATTTTCTGAAACTGTGTTAGTCTGGCCGACTGCGGCAGGTGGAAGACCAACACATTGTTGTTGGTCAGGCAGTGCTTATAAGTCAGCCCTGCTCCACAGCCAGGACAAAGCCCCCAAAGTCAAAAAAAAGTGAAAGTGTTTTTTTCTCTGAACGAGGTGTTGGTAGTTCAATTAGGGGGCCGTTACTTAAAAGCTCTAAACAATCAGCCCGGCATGTGGAGCAGCTGCCCTCACTGTACAACTCCGTGTCGGTCCGTCCACCGAACGAGTCAAGCCAGACTAACACCAGATTTAACAAAGATCGAATATCCAATTCCCCTCCCTTTCCCAATTCCCTCTCTTTCAGCTCCTCCAGGACTGGAGCGATCTCTGCAGGAGAGACATGTTTGCCAGGGTTTCGAACAGTTGACAGAATCAATCCAGAGCAGGATGGAATGGGTGATGCCTCCAGGAACACCTTCTCCTGAGCGAGACATCGCTTTGTCTCGCTCAGGTTCAGGACAGACTGCAATGCTGCGTTCACCCAGCTGTTCCTTAAATAATTGGAGAACTTGCAGTAGTTGTTAGAAATGTTCTCTTGCTGTTGTAGTGTGGAAAACCAGACATCTGTTGGTTTCTGGCCAAACCCTTTGCTCCAAAGGATCAACGTCCCCCTCCGGGTCCGTTGATCCTTTCGGAGCGATACTTGCACTATCCCCAACGACTTTTCCCTCATCCTCAGAGAGAACTACCCCAGCCGGGGTAGAGCTCTCTGAGGATGAGAGGGCTACCCCAGCCGGGGCAGCCTGGTCGTTGGGGACCTCCACGAACTCAGTGGCAGAAGAAACCTTCCCCGCCGGGTCGGTTTCTTCAGTATCCACGGTACTGCCATTCAAAGGTGAATCCGTTTCAGTAAAATAATCAAATACCTTTTCATGCCCGATGTTACGATATAGCCGAGTCCCCAGCCGAGTGGCAGAGCAAACGTACCAGCGCATGAGAGAAATTAATCATTGCTAAGAAATACGAAGTCAGGAATGAATGAGAGTTCTGGATCGCGAATGTTCAATGTCTTGAGATTCCAACGTTTAAAGGCTCAGAACATCTTTGATCTATTGTGATGTATTGATGTCATCTATGACATCATCAATGAACTCACTGTAGTTTTTGTTTAAAACTTATTTAGCATGAAGAGATTAACAATAGATTTATATTTGACTGAACTGTTGCATTCGTATTTATACATAATATATTCATTTTGTAAGCAATATTCTACACTTGAATTACTCGCCTGATCTTTACTTTGTTTGACAACAGTGCAGCGTGAAAATGAACGGCTGAAATGTAATAAATGTTGCATTTTTGGCCCAAGTCAAACCGAGTTGTAACACTAAGGTTAGCTAGTTTTACTGCTGTATGCGAGTGTTTGAGTTGGGGGCGTGGCACAAGGAGCTTATCGGATTTAAAGTGAATGAGACTCTAAAACAGCTCAAGGCTGATTTTTGTGCATAAAATGTAATGAACATATTTGAATGATTATATTCTGATTTAACAAATTTATTCAGATTAATTTTTAAATTAGAGTAAAAGTGTGATCAATACAGAGTATTTGGGCCTACTAAGAAAAAATAAGCCATACTACCAGAAAAAAGTTATAATGTTATGACTTTTTTTTTTGTAATACTACTTTATTCTTTATTATTTCAACTTCTCAGTGACTTTATTCTCATAATAATTTTTTGTTAGTGTCGTAGATCAAAACTCTTTAAAACTGTACTAAAGATTTTAAGAAATCAACCCAGAACTCAAAATCTAATGCTTTACTTCTTGTTAGAGGGAAAATCCTCCAAATGTTTTCTATAAAATGAAACCAAGTTAAAGTTGTGTGTTATAAATAAAGGTTTTTCTGCAGCTGCGATGCTGCTGGGAGTCGTGGTGTTGGAGATCAACTGGTCACGGTGAAAAACCCCTGAGGATCTACAAGGCGGTCAGGAGCGACGCCATCGACATGGTGGTGCTCTAACGAGCTCTAGAAACTCCGAGTGACACCTGAACACACCGAGTGACGAACTGTGAAACCTGATGCATTGATGTGAATAATTTTATTCATATCGAATGAAAGTTGAAGTGTGGACATATTTCAGCAGCTTACTGTTCATTTCCCAAACAGAAATTTTAAAAATGGACTCATTCCACGTAGGGAACAGAATAACTCCAAAGTTGATCAGGCTGCATTTAGATTGGTTGATAAATTAATGACATTGCAGTTATACTGTGAGCTGGGGGTGATGATAAGGAAAATGCTGCATCACATGACTTACAAAAAATAAAATAACATGAGGTAAATTGTTTATATTTTCTCTTTTCATTATATATAACTGTATGTGTACCAGCAACATTACAGGCTGTAATGGGACTGGATAGAGCTATGTGAATTTGAAACTCTGCCAGCTGAGCAGATTCTACGGTAAAGCTTCACAATAACACAGAGCAGTAAAAGCGACAAAAGGACAAAACAAATGATGGTGAAATGAGCCAAAATACCTCCACAGGTAATGCAGATAAGGAATGCAACTGGTTGCTCTCTTTGTCATAAACACAATTCAAATGACTTCTGAGTAAGTGATTTTATATGAACTCCCTATGAAGTAAAAACTTCATAGGGAGGAATCACGACTTGGTCATTTCCTTTAAGGATGGAGTATTTAATTATGTTTGCTCCAAAGCAAGAGCAAATCTCAAAACATAAAACATTTTCTTTAAAATCCCAATCATCAGAGCCTAAAATGAAGGTGCTGAATCTAACCTGACCGGTGAAGATGTTGAGCTCCAAAACAGTTTTGGTTCTGTAGTTTGTTCTCAAACACATTTACCTGATTTTGTTTTAAAATTAGAATCGCCTCACTTAGTGAGGAATAAATGGAGATGGGTTGGAAGGTCCCCTTTTGTTTTGTCCTGATGTCTGTTCTGCTGACCCAGGTTGCTCAACGGTCCTCCTAAGAGCTTTGCCTGCACAACCTTTTCTTGGTTGTCCAATAATCTGTTTCCAAGTAAGGCATTAGTCATTTCTGCCTCCTGCTCGTCTCCTTTTCCCCTAAACTTTCACCTGCCATCTACCTTCAGCACAACATCAGATCTTTAATTTCAGTTCCGTTTACACCATCTAAAGTTCAATGTCAAAATCACATCTGTATCCTTTTTAGTTTCTTTGATTTAGCATGCATTTCTAATATTATGATAACCATAGCTTAGTAACGTGTGTGTGTGTGTGTGCGTGTGTGCGTGCGCGCGTGCGTGTGTGTGTGTGCGTGCGTGCGTGTGTGTGTGTGTGTGTGGGTGGGTGTGTGTGTGTGTGTGTGTGTGTGTGTGTGTGTGTGTCGTGAATGTTATCACCAGTTTACCTGGCAGAAGGTGTGTGGAGGCTTTAGCTGTCCAGTCATGTTGGAGTGTCTGATTTGGATTTTTGAGTTCCCCCAGTTGGATTCTGTCTTCGTTGATTACCTGAACCTGGAGGAGCAACAGAGGGAAAAAATGCCTGGCATCAATTCATATTTTCTGCAAAAAAAAAAAAAATTAAATAAAAACAGACATAAACTAATCATTTCATCATTTCTTATTCTACAAAACAGAAAATAAGATTTAACAGTGACATCTTGATTTTTTTATTGATTTTTTTCAGGTTTTGTCAACTCTAGTGGCCTTCAGTCAGTAACTCGCCCTTCTTGGAATTAAAGATTTTTATTTAGACTTTCCACTGATTACAATTACAGAGCAGATGTAAACATGCAAACATTCTCTTTAGTGTTCAAATATACAACAACAAAATGTCTTACTATCTACATAAGCTGAAATGATCTTACATACCAGGTTAGAGTAGCTGTTCTCTGAAAGATGAAGTTGCATTGCGAGAAGTTTTTGTTTCTCCAGGACAAGCTGAAAAATACAGAACATGTCGGGTCACATCAGCTTGTGATGAAATTTGTCACATATTGCAGCGTTCCAAAGTCACAGAAGAGGTGAAGAATTAACTCTTGAGTGTGGAGTTCAAACTCTGCAGTCCATGAAGGAAAGATGCTCCGATGTTTTGCATTTGGTTTCCCCAGCAGATTTATGAGATCAGAGTTTTGAGGTAGGATGTGAATCAGGTTTTGGTTAAGTTTAGGAATGTACTAGTATTGATTCGAGTCAGGAAAAATATCTGAGTTAAGCATGAACGTAGCTACTAAATTGAATGTCCTAACATGGACAGAAACACAAAACTGTGAGGAAAAGAAAGAAAGAGAGAGAGAGAGAGAGAGAGAGAAAGAGAGAGAGAGAGAGGACTGTTGCTGTAAATCAAAATGAAAGATGTATGGACATGAGAAAATGAATTTGTTTTGAAAAACCTAAAGCAACCTGCCACGTGGGACATCACCAACAAACATATTATTTTGTGAAGACCACACAATACTTCTTTTTTTCTATAAATACAGAAAATGTAAGACTGTGAAGAAATCACAATTAAAATAAATTTTCACCTGACGCTCCATGTACTGGACGATATCCTGCTGCACCCTCCACTGAGCAACGCTTTTGTCGTTGTGTCTGTGTTCAGAGTGGAGGTGCCTGAAACACAAAGTAATGCTTAGGATTTCCTCAGCATCCCAAAAACTTTATTTTAAAGGCCTGCCCTTGAAATGTGGCCTCAGTCCACTTGTGAAGCTCCCTAAATTATTGAATGGATTTTGCTTGTCAAAAGGTCGTAACATTTGACCATGATCCAAAGTCAAATTTCATGTCTTATCTTGGATATAAAGCGTTTTCACAACAACGAAAGGTGATATAATAACTATCTTATGCTTAATAGGTCAGAAATATATCTACTGGGGGCTGTCAACGTCTACGTTGCACAGCTGCATTATGGGATGCTGTTAGGGTTCTGCTTAGGAACTGACTTACTTTAAGAAAGTGGAGAAATTTTCCGAGACGACTCCGCAGCCTGGCCAGCGGCAAAGACCACTCACAAACAGTGCATTCATCCCTTCTGGTGTCCTGGGACAAATAGAAAGGTCTACTGTCATTCTAAGTGTTAACCATCAGTAGAAAATCTCTCATTCATCAAAGAAGTTGTTACATTGCGTTTCTAAATGTTATGTCCTTCCTTTTCCGACAACCACAAGAACCAACTTGAAAAACAGCCACCTTACATGAAACACAAAAGTGGCGTATTGTAAACACACCAGTGAGGCATAATGTTTTATTATAGATAGACTCGGTTCAATTGGGGACAAAAATTGCCGCATTTGTTACATTTTCAGCTGGTGTGGTTTGCTTGCACACTGCAGTGCATCAGACGACCCAAACCTGTTCACCTCCTCGCCTGTGATGACGCTGCTGAAGGAAACGACACAAAAACCTCCAAAGAGGACCAGCGCAGCTTCTTTCTTCACAAAATGTAAACAGAACCGGAGTGGCATCAGATTTTAGCGGTTGTAGGATTTCTCTTTTGTCTCTGATGAACGACCACAAAACTTTCCCCCCTGGACTAAACAGTACTGGTGTGTGGTGCTGGACACACATTTGTTCCAGTTGTACTTACCCAGAATGTGCTGCACTATAGTTCACTTCCTGCTTTTGGAGAGGTCTCCGGCCCACTTGCATCCACATAGAACCACACCAGAGTTTGCTTCAACCGAGCAGAGACCCAGGATGTTGGGCGGACTCAGAGTTCAAATGATCTACAGTTTGACTAAAGCGGACTAAACAGTACTGGTGTGGATCCACCCTCAGGGTCATGGGGTCGTTCACAGTGCAGACGATTTCAGCATCAAACACAAGCGATTAGGTAAAAATTAAAACCTGAAAAGAGTCCAGGCCTCCAGGAAGCAGTTCTCTGTTTGAAGCAAAGCGTATAACAAGGGGCTGGTTTCTACCAGGCTTGTTTTTTCTGTCACTTTGCTGCTTGTAGTCCCAGATTTCCCCACTGAGCAGCAACTCTTTGATTCCATTTCATTCTAATTCTTTTTAGAAACAAACTTGTTGGTTGATGAAAAATTAATATGAACCTGATGAGTTATTGCACAAAGTTCATTTGACTTTATAACATTTCCACAAATCCAGATTTTATCAAATTATTAATCTTAAGTGTTTTGATTGTTGCTGAGTAACTGAATGATGCTGCTGTTTTATAACAGTTGTAGTAAATACATTAAGTTGGCATTTACTCACCCGTTGTTGAGTCCGATCTTGACTGAAGGTTGCTTTGGATTTTCTCCACTTGGTGACAAAAGATAAAGGCTTGGATTTGGCAGCATCAGAGAGGAATTTGACCAGGAAAGATGATCTGTATCCACCTCCTCTTTACAGAGAGACCCAGATCCACTGCTGTCTGAGTTTTATGGCAAAAAAAAGCTTTGTTAGACTGTCATGTGCACATAGAGGCAATATGGATGGTAAAAGAAAGGCAAAACCAAAATCTGTCATTTCAAAAGACCTTGCATATTTTTGGAACAACATTGAAGCCGAGCGTCAGGTGGCATAATTGCCATGGATGTGCTTTTCTGACTGGAGCAAGTCACAGAAACATTTTCCTACCATGTTGTTGTCTGGAAGCCGCTTGTGGAACGTGACGCAGCACAGATGGCCTCCGCTGTTTATGCTTTTGTGTCTCATCCATTTTGCACCAAAACTAGAAACAAATATACGGCAAAAATAAAAATCAGAGGGCCACCAAATCCGAGCATCCATGTTTCCATGGTTCATCCACAAACTACTTTATAGAGCACAAAAAAAAACACAGATTTTTAAATAACTGTGCCACAAAGAAACATAGTGGCGCTTACATTTTTGAGACATTTATAATATCTTTACACATTTCCAAAGACATATGAATTAGGTAAACATAATAAGGCTGTATTAAAATAAGTTTTAAAGTAAGTTTGATTTAAATTTCCAATTTGTGTGCAATTATATAATTTACAACACAGAAGCGTTTTTAAGTGAATTGTTTGCAGAACTGATAAAATACATAACATGACCAGGTACGTGTTGTGCAGCTGCAAAACACAAAAAATCCCTGGACGAACAATAATATTGTTCTGCAATGGGAACAATATTATTGGGAATGTTCTGCAATGGGAATGAGACACTTTCAGATAGTTTGAAGTTCACATACAAGTTGCGTATATTTGGAAATGTGAACGACCACATGAAAAAAAAATTGGATTTAACAACAAAAAAAAATCTGAATTTCGCATTACAGCCTCCAGTGTGCGATAATTTAATTAAAATAGAATGAACCAGTCATCAACAAATCGTAAGTCAACTTGTTCCCATCCCTCATACGGGTTTCTATAATTTCACTGCTGCGAGGTTCGTAGACTGCACAATAAATTGTCTGATTTAGAAGCAAATTTGTGGTTACTATTTAGTTCACCTTTGAGAAGAAAGATGCAATGATCCATGTGCAGCACTGCTGACTTTGCAGCACCTTGATTTACCGAGTGTGCAAGAATAAACTGTGTAACATTGTGTTTTCAGTTGAGCACTTATTTGTTTTGGTGGGTTTAATCAGTCTCTCCAGGGGATTTCGGTAGCATTTGTGCTTTGAAAAGCTGAAGAAATGACAGAATGATTTGTTTTCTTTTAAAAGTGTGTATATTTCTAGATTTTGTGGTGGCACTGTTTCTACCAGTTGGGGCTTTTCTGTCTGGAGCTCTATGGCCTCTTTACCAATGTTTCACACAGTGTACAAAAACATGCTAACACAACCAAGTTGCCCAAAGATGGGACTATGGATAGTTTGTTGTGGGGTGGATCCTACTTCTTGCTCACTTGTGAAGTGCAACAGGTCATCCTGGAAATTGTGTTTGAAAAAGTGCTTTGCTAAATTCTTCTAAATAGTACATCTGTATCTAGATGTAAGCGTGTGGAATATTAACGTGGAACGTTCAGTTTGATGAAAGACAAAGGCAGGTTGTAGTATTTGCTCTCAAGTACATTGAATATAAATTCCAAAACACCAGAAGTTTATAAACCTGATGTCTTTGTGCTGGAAGAGCCTGAAAACCAAAGTTAAGTTTTGATATCATACAAATTTTCACTCAGATTTATTTATTTTTTCTGTGTTTTTATTCTACATAGAAAAAAAAATTCCATCCTGTTTTTGCCACTAGAATACAGAGAAATGGTTCTAACTTGTGCTTAGGAAGTGGTAAAGTTTGTTCCTGCATTGTTGGGTGAAGATACATGTTGCACACCTGACTTCCTGACGTATGTGGTGAAACCACTTGCCTGATTTGAGGTGGGGGATGGTAGCACGTCTCTCAGCCATGAACGAAAACAGCGTTTTTGAGTGATGAATATGTTTATCCCCACTCTTGATATATTATGCATTTTAATTTCATTTTCGTTCTGCACAAAAATATTTAATTCCACACTGCAAAGCAAAGAAGGGTAAAAACAGCTTTGCACCAAAAACACTGTTTACTACTCTTACATTTTCAATTTCAAACTTTATACATTGTGCTTTACTCTGTACTAGAGTAAAGACTTAATTTGTCCTGGGTTATTTAGCTTGTTATGTTGATCACATTTATTTGTTTGTTTGTTTAGATCTGGATACTTCTGCCAAATTTGCTCTAAAAGTGTGTATTATACAATACATTTTATTAAATTAAAAGTGAGAGTTTGTCAATAAAAAAACACATTAGATTTATTTAGGCTGCATAATGAGAAACATTTTTATAATATTATTTTATTTTATTTGAGGAAAAATTAAGTGAAAAAACTTTCCATTTGAAAATTGTTGTTTAAAAAAAAAGAAATTCTCAAATATATTTGCAAATATTTGAATTTGCAAGTATTTGCAATATATTGTAGAATATAATACTACAATTCATGTGCGAGGATACATTGTGTCCTGCACTTAAGTGTTTTTCTTCTAATGTACTGCGATATATTTTTGTTTCATAAGGGCTACTAAGAACGTCCATCAGAACGAGCGTCATGAAGATGTTATTTAGCCATTAAGTATCTCTGTGGACGATGTCATCCTCAGTTCTGCCTCTGCTTTCACCTGTTCACCTTCGTCGTCTGCGCCGTGGCGTGGCGGATCCCCTCTCCTGACCTCCTTCACATTAGTGCCTGTTTCCTTCAGCACAGGCGGCGTTTCTTCCATTATGGTAAATGTCTTTGTTCCTGTGTCCAGAAACACTTTGAGCTTTGGGCATTTTTCTTCTTCAGCAGTTTGGTGACTTCCCTCACAGGAGGATGCCAGTCATTTTTTTTCTATAGGAATCAATTTTAATTCAGAAGAATCCCATGAAATCGTTACTCCTGAGAGCGGGGAGCGCTGACGGTTCAACAGAGTTATGACTCCACGTAAGTTTGGCAACTAAAAAGAAACCCAGGATTGTTCTCCTCTGTTGATGATGACAAATACGATGTTCTAGCCAAGGTCATCAACTTGAGAAACGCTGGAAGTTGGAGTTTTCTCTGTGTGCGTGCACTTGTAGGTGTGTGTGCATGTGTGTGTATGTGTGTGTGTTTGTTTTTTACCACTACTGTCAAACAATTTCCCTCTAATTGGAGCCATTAAAGGCTTTGACTGAACAGAACTGAGGGAGTTCGATGAGCGTATCCAGAAACAACAAATATGTCATGAATGGTAAATATGTTTGTTTTACCCAAAAAAATGTGATGTTTCCAGGTTATTCTTAAATCAAATTTTGTCAAAATGATAAAATTATGTTTTGTGATTAATTAAATTGAGTTAATTACAGAAACAACCCAAATCACCTAAATGCTCAAAGGTTCAGATAATCTAAGAAGATGAAACTTTAGCTCAGTTTTAGATCTCATAAAGTGTAATGACTGAATATAGTATTAATTATAGTATTGATACTGTGATTAATGTGCACGATGTAGCAAATGTTGATATTAAAATAATATATTCTAAAGTCTGTAGACACAAAATTTAATTTTGCTTTGAATAAACAAAGATGCATATTTTCAATGCATGTCTACCGTGCTATTAGCTGTTTTTAAATAATTAGACAAATTTCGCAGGTGTTTCTTGAAATATTCTCCTAGTCTTTACATGCAAAGACGCTTGCAGCATGTAAATATTTGAAATGTAAGGATAGAGTTATCTCTCTTTTGCTTATCTGAAAGCCACATCAGGGATACAGCGTGCATTTATACAGCAACCCAAACAGCAGATACGTATCTGCAAATGCACACCCACAGACACAGGAATTCAGTAGAAAGTGAGAGCTCTCAAATGTTGTGGTTTTTCAGTGTGATTTCTTATTCTGGCTTTCATTTTTAACTTTGTGCTATAACTGAAAAAGAGTGGAGCGTCTGGCCTGACCCTCCCGCCTCAGAGTAGTGAGCTGATCGGTTCATCTCAATCGTTTTAATCTTGTGTTCTCACATGTGTCTGCAGCACACTGATATTCTGTATTGAAACTCAATATTTCCATGTGGGGATGCAGCTATGGGCCACATTATAGTATGGAAAACTGCCTCATACTGGCATCACTATGAATGTGTGGGTTTACTACTCATTTCAAACGACACGTCACGTCAAAGTAAACGAGCAGAACACTCTTGTTTTCAATTATTACTAAGAAATGTGTCTTGATTGTCAGACAGAGTTCGCCTTGTCTCAATATATTTGTTGTAATGTAATTTGAACATAGATATGTATTACTTCTACTCAGTTGATTGTACAAAAGTGAACTGTTATTGAATGTTTAAACCTTAATTTTCCTATCATTTATTCCACGTTTCATCTTGTGTGAGGGATGGAGACCTGGAGGCGGTGGTAACAGAGGTGGATGAACGTCGCCTTGCAGACTCATGTTCTCCCCAGTAGCATGTTTGGGATGACCTCTTGGCCTAATATGAGTTTACATAAAGAAAACCTACAAAGCTGAAAGAAGAAAATGGAAACTTGATGCCAAGAGGCACAACCTAGTTTAAAACTGGAATCATGCTGAGTGTAAAGGATTGGAGGTTGGCTAATTTGGTACAAGATATAAATCTGATTTATTTATTTTTATGTATTACAATCAGTCTTGACAATCCATACTACAAAACCTATATGAAGGAGCATCAGTAAAAGTGTTGCTGATGCATCCAACCCTACTGGGGATAAGGATGTAAGCAGACAGACGGACGGATGGATGGATGGATTATGGTTTCACATAATTTTCTTCTTGTTGGCCAAGTGTGAGTCAAAGCTGAAGGATGAAGCCACAAACAAAACCACATTAGTCAGCTAATTTAACTGACTAATGAATCAGTGGAATCAAATTCACTTTCACTGACATTGAACAAGAATTTGCTTCGATCTATTTTATTTCCAGATTAAGGATGTAACAGACATCAGGTCATCGTTGTGTGCATAACACATTTCGAAATCTATAAAATCCCTTTTCTATCTTTCTCATGTTGGTCTGAGCTTTATTTCCTGGTGGACACAGTTGGCCGCAATATTCACTGAGAATGATTTGAACATGTCGATATTTGAGGGAACTGGACTGGGCTGGTTTAAATCTCAGTTCTCTGACGGTTTCCAGTTTGTCAGTGTGAATGATCAGTCTTCTTCACGAACCAGGGTGACTTGTGGAGTCCCACAGGGCTCTGTGCTACAGCATCAGGTCCATTTTCACTGTTATGCTAATGGTATTCAGCTCTATGATCCATAAATCCTGATGAATCCAATCTATTAAGTAGCTTGATGTCTTTAAGACTCTAAACTCTTTTCTTTTAAATTCTGTCTTGACAGAAGTTGGGGCAGAAACCTGACTGCCCAAGTTGTTGATATGTTTTGTCAAAAACTTTCCTTTTTGGCTTAGGTTACCCTGAGTAATCGCTGTAGCGACGCTGCCGTAGAATTAGACAACTGCAGGATAAACTGGCCACTTTTTCTCACTTTCTTCTTTAACTACTCTCAAGTTTGCATGATTTTCTGTTTTTTTAACTGTTAACGTTTTGTTTTCTCGCAGCTGTTTTTCTTTCAATAACACTGAAGAAAAACCCGAAAATCTTAGTCAGGACAACAAACTCAACCACCAGAAGCCACAGCAGTAGATTGATCATCCACTGACATCACATGGAGGATAGAAAGTAGGCATCTGATTCTCTGGATTACACGTTCACCCTCCAAATATAACTTACCTAAAATCATCAGAAACCCTTAAGTTACTCTGAAAGGACTTAAGTATTTTTAAGTAATTAGAAATGACTTAAAATGTTAAAATGGTTCTCAATTCTAAGTAAATATTTCATTTAAATATATTTCTTGAAATACTTAAGTCAGATGTTTAACATATATTTTACTTAATGCTTCAAGTTTAAAAAGGGGGAAAAAAAATAAACTTTAAAGATTTGACTCATTTGAAACAAAAAAAAAAAAGAAATAAGTTTGACATGGTCACATTGTTGAAGACGGTTATTTAGTTTTCTAAGTACAGCTGGGAAAATAAGTGAAACTAGTGCTTTCCTGACAGAGTCAGATTAAAATGATTGTGATTTCATTGCTAGTTTACATTACAACTGGTTACTTATATGTTCAACAACACGTCAGTTTTACTTTTTGAAAATTTTCCTTGAAAATATCCAATTGAAAAGAGAGTCTGTATATGAACAAAACCTCACTTAACAATAAAGTCCCTTTGAATCAGGGAGAATATTTTTGCCACTAATTAAAATGTGCTGCTTCACATGTTAACACATGGATGTTGTCATGTATTGGATGTGTACGCAGCGTCACACTCACTAACTACCGTACTTGCTCACCTTTCTCTCCGTTTTCGACATTCTCCAAGAGTTCTAACTTTTAAAGTCAAGCAGTGAGGTTTGCACTTACCGTGCACAGAATCTTCCGCCCGCCGCTGCCTTCGTTTTCTGCCCTGAAACGATGCAGATGAAGATGTATTCCACAGGAAATCTATTTTTACCTGAAGAAGAATCCACAATGTATGTGTTAAGAAGACGACCAAAAGGTTTGTCTAAATATTCAGGAAAACAACCACAGTCAGAGCTTGAATTGTGTAATATATATATATATATATATATATTTAAATCTAAATTTATTTGACAATGTGTTACGTTTTTCTGACATTACAACAAAACGAGAAAAAGAATGCACGAAAGAAACAAACCTCACAGCAGTCTGAAGAGGAAAAGGCAGCTTTGACATCTACCCTCTGTATTTATGCAAATGGCTGATGTCAAAGGAGTTCGTCTCATCCGTGCACCGACTGAAGCCATGCAATATTCATTTATTTATCCTTGTTTTGTCGCTGCCATTTTTGACTCAGATTCTTTATTTAAGCCTGTTATGTTTTACGTTTTTCATCCATTATAAATCGGTGAAAAGAGCATTATAAATGAAATGTATTACAAGGTACATTTTGTTGCAAGGGCTCCATGTATGTTATTTGTATATTAATACAATTGATGTATTTGCGTCAGCATTGCTGTGATGAATTAAATTATATTTTGACTTTTTGGCTTAAAAGACGTGAGGTGGGGGAGCAACCAAAAGGAGAAATGATGGAATTGAGGACGTAAAATTCAGAAGCACTTGATTCAGTCAGTCTGATTAAAAGATACTTTATGACTCCCAAAGGTAAAATCAATTGCAAAGCACTGTCATCTAAGTTTTTTCGAGATGTCAGTAAGTCATTGTGAGGCACCGTCATTGTGTGGTCCTTACGGTCTGCAGTTAGACATCAGTACCAGTGGAAAAACAAAACAGCTAAAGACTTACTAAACATATTACTTTTAAAATTTCAAGCCACTTATGTGTATGTAGCAATAACATTAAGTTAGATGATAAATATTATCTAATGTGAGTGAGGTATTATTTTATTTTATAGTATTTTATGGTGCCACTCCGACAAGATGATGAATATTGTTAAATCAAAAACTCACAATAAGTGAAATTCTTCCTGTGTGACAGCTGCATGTAAAACCTCTCAAACTCAGTGTAAGAATATAAAGAACATACAGTTCATTAGCTGATAAGTTGCTCCCTTATTACAAAAATCATAAATAAGTAAGATTGTGTGAATTCTTTGTAAAAAAAAACAACAGCAAAAAACTAATCAGTGAGCTGTTTTTTATATAAGATCCACAGGGGACCAAGTGAAGTCGATGTGTCTGAATCTCCATCTCGGTGTTTCTGATTTGCCGTCTCATGCTGATCGGGTGAGAGACAGAGACAGCTGCCTCAAAACCTTCTCTTTGAAATGTGCCTATTTAATCAGGTGAGAACAATGTTTTGAAACCTGCTGACAAGGTTGCTGAACGAGGAGCTGCGAAGACATTTTGTCCTTTCAGTGTGTGAATCACAAAACACTGAACAGGTACAGTTTGTGTTCTGGTTCAGACAATGATTCATCTTTTCCCTCTCAGAGATGTTGGATGTCAAATCTTACTCAGCTAATTCGGTCCAGATTAGAGACATTGTATTATTCATTTCAGTGTGACGGTTATGAATTATCAGATGATATTGTCTTTATTACTAGCGTTATTGAAAGATACAAAGAGTCGTTTCGGGAGCTCGGGTGAGGTTATTGTCTAACCACCGATGGGTCATATGTTGGACTTCCTACCTGTACAGGATTTCATCATCATCGTCATCGTTGTGTAAAATTCTTATTTTGTCAGCAGATCTTGTATGGTGTTTGTGTTGTGGATGAAGATGCTGTTCTGGGTGTGTTGGGTGAACAGGGTTGGGCTGAGCACAAACCTCGGCAGTCGTTATTCTGCAGGACTTTTTCCGGAGATGTAAGGTCTCCTTGCAAGAAAGGTGGTTGTTCTGAGAGGGAAACGTTTTTCTGGTAGTTTAATGCGACATTTTGGTGCTGAAAGGGCTTCTAATCTAGAAAAGAGTGTTGATGTTTGTATTTGATGGTTCTAGTTGAGCCAAGGCCACTCGAACTCCAGTGCTGATTGATTCGTATGTAGACCTGCCTCAATAAGCAGTCTGGTGGCAGCTCAGGCATCCGCCTATGTTGTCTGTGATGCAGGAACATATTATCCTCTCCAAACGCACTAATCACAGGGATAAGGACAGTTATTTAGGCAAGTGATGTTCTAGAAACGTTGTCAATTATAGTCACGGTTGCTGCTTTGGTGATGTTGACTGCCGTCAAGATTTACCTCACTGGAGAATAAAGTTGTGCACAACCTCAAGAGGAGACCCTTCGGCTTACAATCAACCTCATGAACAGTCGGGGTTTAGCGAAGGACGTGACAAGCTACTCTCATGGTTTTCATTACTTTTTATGTGCTTTCTTATTAGTGAGGCTTGCATGAATTATCCCTTTGTCAAGCCTCTATTTCTGCAAAATAGTTCACTGTCGATATAAAGTCTAAAAATACTTTCTATAGTTGGAAATTAAGATACAAGTAAAAGAAACACACACAAAACCAATGTAAGACACGTTTGGCAAAAAAAAAAATTAAATAAATTCTCCTAAATGTAAAAATGTTTAATGTAACTGTTGACATATTAAAATATACATTTAAGACCAAAGTTATTCACACCTTTAGGCAGGTAACGTCATCTTTAATCTCACCACCAGGTAAAATTCTATTGAGGAAGCAAAAGTCCAGCTAAAAGGTTTAGATTAAAAAAACTAATGTTTTTAAAAGATTTTGAACATTGCATAGTTTTTAAGGGGGTCAGATATTCATGTCAAGGACATCGTTGTTCAGTTATTGTTCATACTTGTTCACCCAAAACCTCCTACAAAGCCTACAGTGATGTCAAATCCCAGACACACCTGAAGCTGTGCTAACCAAACAGTTCACACTGGTTAGCAAAGGACAAACAAGCTATTAGTTGTTTGGAGTAACTACATTTGTAATATGGTTGCTAAACGAGGCTTGTTACAAACCCATGCAATTTGACTTCAGATCTAATTTGACTGAAACTGCACGTTGTTATTTATCCATCCATAAGAATGGAGAAAATAAGATATTTTTAGACATTTTACAGTTAAACTTTAGGCTTTTGACATGTTTAATCATATGGTGCCAACAATAGGGTACAACTTACCAATGAACAAGATTCACCAAACCGGACGCTTCTAGTGTGCGTGAGTAAATGGTGCAGTGTCCCAGCGAAGAGTGTGCCATGGAGTACCCCAGAGATTGGTCCTGGGGCCACTGTTGTTCAGGTTACATGTCAACGACCTCACCTGTCCAGGGTGACCCCACCTCTCACCCGTTGCCCACTGGAGATAATTACCAATACCCAGAGGAACGAGGGATAAGCTTGTAAGATAATGGATGGATGGATGGAGTAAAAGAAAAATAAAAAGTATAAAACATATTTAAAAAGTGCAATACCACACATACTAAATGTCATAATTAGCAAAAAAAAAAAAAAAATCTTCTTGTTATTTTCCTCCTCATTGTTTGGAACGTTAAAAGCTAAACGAAACATTTGCATTTTCTGTAACTAATTTACGTTTTTACACCATGTCTGTGTTGGAAACTGCATCTCTTCAGCCAGAGCAGGTTTTTTTTGTCAACTCAAGTTATCAGTGCAAAATGTCACACCGCTCTTTTGAAGAGGAAACTTTAACAGCAGTAAGCGCTGGGGAAGCCCATTTACATACTTTGACATTCTAACAGGTGTCAGCAACAATTTCTGAGGTTGTTTTTTCTGTCGGCAAAGGTCATCTCACCTAAGAATGCCGCTGAGACAAAACTGAAGCACAACTTATTTCAAAGCTTGGGTTTTTTTTTTTTTTTTTTTTTAAAAGACGCTTTGCTAATAAATGGGTTTAAGAACTTTAGCGGTCGTCTCAACTTCTTGTCTTCTGTAGAAAACCTAAAACCGGGACTTTGTTGAAAAGGTTTAAGTGAATAACATTTTGCCAGCGAGCAGCAAGAAGAAACCATTTACTTATCAACAGTGTGTGCAGCAGTGCAGTGAAATTTATAAACTTTATGTCACGACTGCATGGAGTTTCTGCTTGTTGCAACTCAGTTTAGTTTTCTTCATAAACTTACTCTGGTTTTAATTCAGCTCAGTATGCCAAAGAGACCTTTTAAAAAGAAATTGCTAATTTTTGTGAACATATTGTCTGTAAACTTTCAATATATTCAGTTTGCTCACTTCTGTGTTGAAAATGCAATCTTATTTATATATATATATTTTATTTAATTATTTTACTTTAATTAAAAGGCCCTTATGCAATTCAATATTGGTAGCATATTTTTCCAGCATTGTAGTTACGTATATAATGTACAGAGTAATAAAGTACCAGAAGTGAACTTCATTGGCAATTATATTAAACCGAAAGCGTAATGGAGCATGTCGTTATTATTTCACAATTAAACCCAATAATTGTTTCAGCCCTAATGAATAGAATTTAACATGAGAAGATTAATTTTAGACAAATTTGGTACAGAAACAGTCTCTTAAATATACTTTTTTTTTCTTACACCGAAGCACGCAGTCGCATCTTTACTACAAATATGTACAAAAGATACATAGATATTGGCATGAAGGCAGGTTTTTCCACATCATTCTGCAAGCCAGTGTCTTGATAGACGTCACTGGCTTGCAGAATGCAAGCAAGTACATGCTACACAAGTACAGAATGTACATGCTACACATGCTACACAAGTACAGAATGTACATGCTACACATGCTACACAAGTACTTGTACATGTTGTGTACTTGCTACACAGCATGGGCACCAACAACATAATAAAAATATACAATATACACAAAATAACGGGACATGAGCTGAAGTTTGTAGACGCGAGTTTTAGAAGAATGTAATCAACATAACATAATGCAGCTGACAAAATAGATGAGTAGTTTGTCATCATTAGTCTAGAAAAAAAATGCTGTCCTCAACTCACAGGACCATCAAACCTGTGAGAGCACTATAAAAATAAAAGTGCATTCAATTCATGCCTAAAGTCCAAAAACATTTCAAGCACAAATGTAAGAGCTTCCAACTGTTTGTGAATTTACGCTTCAGCAAATCTGTCGACGGATGCCAAAATCAAAACAGCTACAGCGTAACAGGTGGGATGAAATTCAAGTTTGTTTCATTTGGTCTCTGTCGCTGCTCTCAGAAGAACATTTATAATTGCTGTTCAGACTGACTGTCTGTAAAACTGCATTTTAAAGCAGGGTTAAAAATACTCAGTTGTAAAGGCAGACAGAAGCAGAATCAAACATTTAACAGAAGCTACAGTTTAAGGTAGAAAACAACTACACAGTGAATTAAAACATTGTCATGTGAACATAAAAGAAATAAAAAAAAATTTAAAAAAACTTTAAACTTAAAAAAAAAAAATTTAAAAAAATAACTCCAGGTGTCATTGCTCTTTTTAAGGTAACATTCAGCGCAGGCCTCTGTCAAAACAGGTACTTTCGACATGATTCTGATCCACAGCGACACTCCACTCGAATCCGTTTCTTTGGTGAGGTAGGGAGTCCTGCTAGACTGAAACTGGAGTCCATTTTGGTACTTTCTGTGTCCACTGGATCAACTAGAAACAAAGAAAGCAAGGCTCGCGAAGAAAGTCGGAGGTTTTTGTTTTTTTTCTTTCCCAAAAGCAGACTTCAATGATCTATAACAGAATATACAAACGTGAGTAACACTTACGTTGCATCTTGTAGTCGAACGTCAGCTCTTCTCCAGCACGAATCGCCCGAGTTGAAAATAAAGCGATTCTGGGAAGCCTCTCGTCGATGTTATCAATGAACACATTGAAGACTTGCAGGTTTGGGTCACACTATAAACAGAAAAGATTTTCAGGCTCAAACACAAGAAGAAATGCTTTTACGTATTTTGAAAAACCGTACCGCATTTACATAATACCATTTTGTAAATGGCTATTAAATTTTAACTGCAAGTTGCTCTTAACATTAAGCAGCTAAAACTATAATATTAAAAAGGTTTAAGACTAACCAAAATGAAAATCTCAAAGCCTGATACAACCATGAACAGACAAACACAATTAAGTGATATACATTGAGCATCGCAGCCCAGATTTAATGAGTTGATTTGTCATTAAATCTGCATCGTATAACATAGATGCTGACAATGATGAGAGAAAATCAATTTCTCTACTTTTATACAAATTAGGGTTTTTTTAATGGTCGTACAGACGTAGAACAGACCATAGAAAGAGATTTGTTGATGGAACTAAAATGAGCTTGTGTGAAGAAGATGCATTTTGTCTATAAAGAATTAACCAGCAATGGAGAAAGTGTGCATTATGCATTTTATTTGTATACATAACACAGTTGCAGCTGTAGGTTTGGATTTGTTGTAATTCTATTATTGTAATAGAATAAAGCTTCTAATAATAGATCCCCCCCTTAATTATAAGGGGTCAAATGCCCCTCATAATTAATTATTAGTCGGTTAATTGATTGTTTTACTACCTGGCGCCATGTTTTCTGGCAAGATAAATTTTTTGTGCTAAACAATGATCTCACTTCCACCACTTCTGTTAACAAATATTGGGTGCTATTAGCACAAAGGAGTGACCAAACACCCTCTTTTCCCTGTACATATCCAGGTTTTCACCACTTTTCAGGGGACCAATACTGACACAACACATGGATTACAGCAGCGCTCCAGCTCTGTAGCTTAGTATAAGGGTAGCTTTATAAATGAGCACAAGACAACTATGTCCACAGCGTCACCAGAGATCCCTCACCCCCCGACCGACCACCACCTCTTCTTACCTTCAGGACGGCGTTTCAGGGCAATAAAGACAAGAACAAACAGACTAAATAACAGTTTCTACCTCAGAGCTGTTGCTCTGTTGTCACGAACATCCCGAGAGTTTCTATTGGAGTTTCATATTATGTTGTCAATATACTTATATCTTCTTTGCTGTTCAAGAGTTAACATTTTCAAGCTTTGTTGTTCTTTGTGTAATGACAAGAGGAATTTTAATTCAAATAAAGTAGTGCCCCGACATAGTAATTTTGATCTCAATTACTAATTTTGTTAATTATGCCCCTGGCACTCACTTATAGTTATTCGTTCGGCAGACAGAGGTACTAAAAAATGTTTGGACCGTGTAGTGAACACACTCTGCAGACACTTACGCTGTGATTGACGAAGTGGGAAATGTTTCCTAAGTGAGCTGCGTCCACAGTGTAAACATCTTCCACATAGTCCAGGTCAAAGAGGTACGTGGAGCCCTGGCAATCATAAAAGTGGCCCCTCTTCTCTGCTTCATCTGTTGTAATGATCTGAGGAAACGATGGAACAAGTAACACAACGCAAAGACGCAGGCCTAAAGATTCACATGTGTGTAAACAGTTTCTGAAATTTACACGTTCCAAACTGCACAAGAATAATAGAGTGGGCAAATTGCCAAACTGTACATCATCTCATAAATATGAGATCCAAATTTTGTAATTATGACACATGGAGCCAATAAAACCTTTAAAAAAAAGCAAACTTCATAAGGAAGATGTACCACGTTGTGTGCACTCTGACCCATGATGGAGGCTACACCATTGTGTAGAAGATTGTGCTGCTGCTTTTGTTGGTTTTCACTGAGTTTTTATTTTTCCAGAAAAAGAACATTTTCATCTAAATTGGTATATTTCAGTAGTGCAGCCTACAAAGTTAACATTTATAGAGTCCAGTAACTTTGACGGACGTGCGTGTCTTTACTGTAGTGGTTTTGTGCCACTGGGCCAAGCCAAAAAGACTGAATTATTTCCATTAAATCTGATAACGCTCAGATATCCAAGCCTTTCAATTGCCTTCAATGCAGCATTACAATTACAATTCTCAGATGTCGCAGGTCTTCAACAGCCTTGAACGTGTCATCTCATTTGTGTTGTGGATTTGTATGCAGTTTGAAACCTGTAAATTTGACCAATAGTGGTGATCAGAGGACTCGGTGGCACCAGTGTGTGAATGGGTGAATGTAGTGTAAAGCAGTTTGGGGGTCGGCTGGATTTGATAAAGCGTTAAACAAGTACAGGCCATTTAAATTTGAGAAACTGCAGCACATATGTGGATCCTGAGGTACACTTTATGCATCGTGTTATACACATTTGTGAATTGTGTCATACACTTACAAATGTTGTTGTAGGCCTGTGAATCTTATTGCACACATATATCTTTGAGACTCATTCAGTTCCATGGACTTCACATACATTTGATTCGTTTTGAAGATCGTTTGGTTTTAAGGCCCTGCAGGGTTTTGCTTCTTTCTGCCTTTCTGAGCTGCTGCACCATTCTTCGCCCTTCTGCTCCCTGCTGATCAGCTGTTCTGCACTCTAACACAAAACAGGAGGATCCAGGTGCTTTAATCCAGGGAGAGAACAAAAGCATGCAGGATGCCGGCCCTGGAGGACCCACTTTGGGTACCACTGCTGTAGATGTTTCTCCGTTTTAAACACGTGATTCAGACGAGTGCAGTTCTGTTGTGTTGAAGCAGGGAAACGCCTAAAACATGCAGGGCAGGGTGCCGTAATGACCAGGGCAGGGAAACACTGACCTTACATAAATAAGGTCAGTGACTGCAGGTCTCTTCACCGCAACACAAACAGGAAACTAAACACCAACCTAGTTTTGTTGAGCTGCAACTGTTGACAGAACAGCTCTTTTTAGAATACCTTCATTTCATCACATCAAGAATAGAACTATTAGCTAAGCTGTAGTTAGTGAGCAACACACAGGGCACAAAAAAGAAAAAGAAAAAACAAGTGATCTAAAAGAAGATAACATCTGAGCAGGTCTCACCTCTCCAACATACTCCATGACAAATGTGCTCTTCTTGATGTGCTGCAGCGTGCGGACGCCCCAGCCCCGGCCGTTCTCCGTCTTAAAGATGCACAGGTCGAACTGGATACCTTTCTGCACCACCCTGTTGGCGCAGTCAGGACCACAGTTGCATCGAGAGTTGCACTCGTAGATGGGCTGTCCTGGCCGGATCCGCACTTGACCCTTGTCGTTGTAGGCCATTCGATGGAGTGAGGCCCCCGGGCAGCAGCCGTTCACCGGCTCGTTCAAGCAGTCCCTGCATTCGCAGCCGACAGCCATTTCGTTGATCACAATGCCTGGACCAACTTTGTAGTTGTTAATGTAGGTGAAGTGTTTCGGAGGGCCATCTTGGTCCACTTCGTTTATGACAAAAATGCGTCCCGGGTGATTGCGAGTCTTGTTTAAATGGGTTTCCCACTGATGCAGACTCAGACGAAGTTTGGCTTTCTGAATCAGCATCAGGACAGTTTCTTTATCCAACCTCTTGGGGAGGCCACGCCTCTTTTGGCTCTTCAGAATTTGATCCAGGTCCAGGTGGAATAGTTTCATTAGCTTTGGACATTTGAGGTTTCTTTTGGGTTCCCACGTATTGACAGATGCAGGGAAGCCTTTCCACTTAACAAAGTAGAACTCTTCTCCCTGAAACGCATAAAAACTTCAGTCTTCCCAAAGACTGATCTACACATCCTTCATCAAGTTAAAGAGAGATGACTCAATACAATTTTTTAATATATTTATATGCTGCCAATTCACAACAGATGCCTTGAGGCACTTTATATGAACACAGATTCAGCCTTGCCAACCCTGGAAGCTGTGTTTTGTTTGTTTTTTTACCTCACAGTGGCCAACTTTTATCATCCCCATCTCGAATTGAACCACTAATGTGGGATTACTCTTCCAGTGAGGACAACGCTTGCAGTCTTGTTGTCTTCTGATTACTACATTTGGTGAGATGTTACATTTCAAAGCTTTTATCACTCCAGAGAAAAAGTTCAATGTGTTCAGCTCGATGAGGACACAGTGGATTGTCTATTCAGCCGTCAATGTAAAATGTCTTGGTAAAAACATATTAGGACTACATTTTGTTTAGCACAGTCAAAATGATGGACACCAAAAATGTCTAGCGCCACCTTTGCTCCAAACTATTGACATTTCCACCCCCTCCCACCATCTAATTTCTCTTTTTTTTTACTTATTTGTGTATTACCACCATAGCTTGGTATGCAGTTGGTTTAATGCATAGCACTGCAGTGTAAAGTGGTATCGGTTCGGAGTATTAGTACTTAACGCTGGTATCGAGACATCACTAATGTTTGTTTATGAAAAGTGTAAGGTGTAAGAACCTTTTTACTTTCCAAGACCGATAAGAAATGTATAAACATATTTGACTAGTTCAAACTTTGGAAAGGGTCTACAACAATATGAAAGGAGTTTTTTATCCAATTAGAATAAATTTCTATAATTCTAAAGGATACTTAAAGAGCAGTCCTCTAATAAAAATAGATTTTACAAACTGAAATCAACATTTTTCAGCCTGCTTGCATGCAAACATAGACATTGAGGAATTTCTTTTTCAAGTTCAGATTACTTATATTCAATTACTCATTGTTCTAATAACTTGTTTTTTGATACTGCTGCTTTACAGCATAGCTAAGCTCAGTCATAGCATAGTGTCGGAATAACTAACAGTGTGCTTTCCTACACTGGTTTCAAAATAAAAGGCGTGGGAAAGATAACACACAGATCTTCAGAAAATAAATTGCAGTCGTTATCTCCAGGCACACTTTAGCAATAAGTCTGGTGAAGCAAACAATATTAAAAATAAAAAAAGGAATGCATGTATTAGTAAAACCTGGCTAAACTATATCCTCTGAATATCAGTTAATAAAAAAAACAATATTAAGAGAATGCATCTTATTTCTTGGCATAAAAAAACTGAAAAATGTACAGAACCAGTTATATTTATTGGTAAAATAATAATCCCATACCTCCCTGGTCCTCTTGTAATCACAGAGAAACTCCACTTCATAGTCATTAACATTGGCTCTGTTGACATTAAGCTCTTGACAGTACAGCCTCTCCCCACGGCAAAGCGTCTCCAGCTCATCCACAGTTATCTTGCAAGGGACGCAGCAATCTGGCGATGCAAAAAATAAATAAATAAATAAAGATGGACTTAAAAACGCAAAGTTTCAGTGTAATTGAAAAGCAGAACCCTGGGTACATCGTTTGCTTTTGTTTTTGAACATGTGTCTCCTGGCTTTTTGAAGAAAACACACAGCTCATTATTTAGGGTTATTTTGGGGGGAAATATTTGTGTTTAGTGTTCTGGATGAGCTAAATGACTCGTCCAAGTCCAGATCCGCGGACATTTAATCGCTTTCCCGCGTGCAGCTCTGGCCGTCCTGTCCCTCTTCCTTTCACAACAATCTCCCACACAAATGGCTACATGCTTCTTCAAACGCGCACCATCAATCCCACTAAAACTGGACAACCGAATTCGTGAAGAAGCGCAAGTAATTGCACTCGTTCAGCAGTCGCGACGGAGAAGAGACTCTGCATCACAAGAACAAAGTTGACAGTAAAGTCCTGTCGCAAAGACGGTCAGCAGAATAACAAGAACCCTCACGCTGCAATTTCCGAGCGAAGGACACCCAGAAAATACAGTTAAACACTCGTGATACAGTACCTTTCGAAATTTGCGCCATGTTTTCCGCATAACCGCCAAAATACATTAAAACGCCAGTGGCGAAGACCGCCCTCCAGCTCGGATCTTGGCAGTTGCTGATTGGATGAGCTGCACCTCTTAGCCAACTGATTGGTCCAAAAGCAGAAGGACAGGAAAGACGCCCTGCTATTGGCTCGTTCGAGATGAACGAAGGAAAAGGGCTGGTTGAGAGGTCGTACCGAAGCGATCTCGTACCTCAACAGGGGAAGACAAAACAGTCAGTGGTTTTCTAAAGCTTTACTTCTGGATAGCAGCACAAAACAATCACAAACTTCTACTTTTGCAGCAGTAACCAGAACACACATTACAAAATGGAGATGCTTAACTTTATTGACATAATACTACATTAATATTTAGCAATCTGACCATATGTAAAACTGATTTGTAAATCTACACATTACAAGGATAACAAATATTAAAGATGCAATAAAAAACATATCTGGAGTGTTGCTCTGTCCGAGTATGAAAGCCCCAAATCATCATCATATATATAAGTAACCCTTTACACTGCATCATTGGGCATTAAATCTTTTTATACATACCTAATAACCTACTTATTTCTTAATGATTGAGTGAACAGAACTTGTGCGTGGTCTCACCAGGAATAAAATTAAATGGCTCTATATAAATACAGTTAACTAAAAAGCAAAAAAGAATGTGAACTCTTTTACAGGACACTTTTATTGTTTACATTATCTCAAAGACTGAACATTTACAGAAATACTCATGGACTAAAAATTGCACACACACATACAACAAAACCATAATATGCAAAATATAATAAAAGAAGCATGCAAACATTTGGTGAACAGGACCAGTTTAAGAAAATAAACTGTGACGACATGATGAAGGATTTGCAAGTTTAGGTCATTATCATTTACAGTAGTTTTAGAAACGTAACATATTTGTGTGTTAAGTTTTCGTGTAGTTCAGATGTGAACTACACAATTCATGCTCATTACAGAACCTCGTTTTTATTGTTTATTTCAGTCACATGGATGCATGTTGATACAAAAAAAAAACAAATAAATCAAAATTCATGGAAACATTTTTGTGTAAAATAGTTTTAATGATGGACAATTCACTGAATTAAACGATAGAAAACCCAGCAAGCAAAAATGATCCAGTGGCTTGCCCAGTTGAGTTCAGACCACCTCTGAATGGTATGCATCGCTGCGTAGCCCTTAAACAGAAATTACAACAGTTACACTTTTATTCAGATCTCAGCCTTTTCTCCAAGGAGTAGAAGACTGTTGTGCTTTCATTCTGTGTACAAATCAAGTATGTTTGAAAAAGAGTAAATACACTCGATAGACCTGGTGGTCAGTGTAGATCTTGCATAGTAAAATGTGCCAGGATATTCTTTCCTCAATGTCAGAGCATTGGCATTAAGAATTTGAAAGTTAGGACAGGCGTGTCACTATTTGGTCTTTTGTTTTGAACAGCATGTACTAATTGAATTCTCTTCCAAAACGTGGATGGAGGTCAGTCCTGGCTGAGATGTCCACTTTAAATTTCTGTGTTCTGCCGTTTCATCAGATATAGAAAAGAAAAATGACATTGTGTTTCTTCCCCTCAGCAATTCTAAAGTGTCAACAAAAAGCTGACTTGTACATAAAGTCAGGGTTCCACTCTCCTAATTTCTAAATACATTTCTTAGGTAAAAGTTCTTTATTTATTAAAGCGACATAAAAGACCTTTAGACTAAAAAGTTAATGCGGAAGTTATCTGTCTAGATTATTATTTAGCAATACAAAGAAATGAAAAGAAAATAATGCGACTGTTTTTCTTCATCACCATCATCAAGACCACATGCAAATCTATCAGAATTGTTTACCTCTTCTACTTCCTGTTCATCAGACCCAGGATCGAACATGGAGCCCAAGTAGGTGAGATGGAAGACGACGAGTAAACTGAACACTAGATTCAGCAACAGCACCCAAGCATTCTAGAGAGTAGAGCAAAAACTGGAAATAAACAAGTTTGAGTTAATTTAACAGCAATAATAAAAACAATGGGGCCGCACCTTCTTGTGTCGATGGCTGCAGTCAGATGCACAGGGCCTGGACAGAATGCAGGCACTAAGGATGTATGCAAGCTTCTTTCTCAGAACTGACAAGCGGCAAAAAAAGGTAATCATTAATTCATCAATTAGCTAAAAGGAAATGGCATTTTATTTATGCAAAAGAAATGTCCTGGACTTTAGGAATATGAGGTAAAGGGACAGCAAGGAAAAATGTGTAATAGCAGAATACTTAGAATAATTACATTTAATACTAATTTGAGTATAGAAGGGAGTTGAATGCTAAAGAAGCAGACAGGAAAAGGTACAGAGTGGTGATGAAAGTTCAATAAAATAGCTAAACAAAAACTGACAAAATTTACAGGGAAAGCAGGGAGCCAGAGCAGAACAAAAAAAAAAAAAAAACCTCCAGAGTCAGGAAACAAAAAGCCAGCAAGGTGAAGAGGTACGTAATGGGATTAAACAGGAGGAACCATTAAGGAGGAATGAGAGCAATGGATAAATACTAGGAGTGTGAATATTGGGACAAGGGATTAACTGACTAACAGGTAGTAGGTGTGAGAGGAAAGAGCAGATGGCAGGCTGAAGAGACAAAAAAAAAATGGCACCAAAATAGAAACAAGGCTGATCTAATCAAAATAAGAGACTAAGGAACATAAAAATAATAAACAAGCCCCAAAACAACTCAACAACCCAAGACCCGGACAATGACCTTTGGGTCATGAGTACAAGTATTTCTTCCTGTACGCAGAAGCTCATTTCAGATGAAGACGATTAGTGTATTCTGAGTTTATGTGGCTGCCAGATGATTACATACCATGTTCAACATATGTGATGAATCCCAGTGTGAGCAGAACAGCTCCCAGGTGAAAACTCAGGCCCTGAAGAAAACAACAGCACAAAACAACCTTAACTATTCAGCAACTTCCTTTAAGAAACAAACAGACTGAAGTTATATTTTGCTTCTATATTTTTATCACTTATGTATGTATCCACACACATGTATGTATCCTTGGATCGATGGAATAAAATTGACTAAATAGAAGCTGTCTGAATTGAAGTCTTCTGGTCTGCTAGCATACAAAATGAAAATTACATTCGAAGAAATGTTCAGTTTTTAACCCTTTAATGCAAAAGGAATCCATGAGAAAACCAGAGTTAAAATGATGTACTGTTTCAGAAATTATTTAATATGTCATATTCTAATTCATAGAGTGAAGGCTCCTGCTTATGTAAACGCCGGGTTACAGTCTCACAGACTTTTGCCCTTCCTGTAAAAGTTTTGCATTAGGAAAAAATTTAACTTATTAATCCCAGTAAAATTAGCTAGCCCAGGAAGATGACAAAAACCTCAAGTAAAACACACACACAAACATCCATAGCTTTATGCATGGAATTAGTTTCACCCATCTCATTCACCAGAGACTTGTGAATAAAGAAAAATGCCTCTGTGACTGACATGGAGGAGGGCGCTGGCTGTGTATGTCACAAGGATTGCAGGGAAGGTTCCTAGTTTCATGGAGGTTTTAAACACATCTGAGAAAGAAAGAGAACACATTCAAACCAATTATTAACAAACAGAGCTCTGTTTGCCTTCCAACAGATGTGAATTCTAAATCTGAGACAAATGAGAAGCTACTAAGTGATTCAGCAGAATTAGAACCATCTTAATCCTGAGTCAAGATAGTTAATTACATATTAACAATCTTGATTATCTATCAAAAGACAGTTAAACCATGAAGCCAAACATATTCACCATTACACTGGTTTGAAAAATGGGTGTGTTTGATTTCAACAATAATATCTAGTAGTATTGAATAAGGGAGGCCATGACCCACAGGTTTTTAACCACTGAGACATTGGGATGTTCCAGGATATCACGACCAGCACCATGGAGCGAGGCATTTCCACGCTCAGGGGCTTCACTATCCTCATATTCCTGCACAAAAAAATCCAAAGACTGATTAGAAATAGATCCAATCTCCATTTACTGAGTTTGTCTTTTCACAAATACTCCACTATAAATTAGATAAGCCCAGTAGCGAAGCTCAGTGAAAGTTACCATTGGATGTTGTCTTTTTCTTCTGTGAAACCCACTCCTGCCAACATGCTGGTGCCTTCACTTAGATGACCCACAAAGTAATTACTGAAGTGGAAGGACACTGCAGTCTCATAAGCACGCAGCCACCTGTACGGGACACATATGTTCAGCTAGCCTTCGTCTTCCTCAACGTCAAACACTTGACGTTCAGGAACTTAAAATGAAATCAGTGAAGCACAGAAAATCTAACAATACTTTCATTTCCAAAAATGTTTTTGCAGAAGTAAAATAGTTAATAAAAACACTAAGGTCATCTACTCTAAAGTAAAATGAAAGAAATTAGCTGAAAAATAGTGCTAATGTAAACCCCAACATCTATGTTTTTCACTTCCTTTTAATAGTTTGTTTTTGTAGTTGTTGCAACTTGGACAAAAAATGCAGGAGTAAATATTTGTGACATTTTGGTAAAACGCCAAAGAGGAAGAAAAACATAGAAATCTGGGACAGAATAAGAAGAGAAATGGCTTGATTCTTGGTAAAAGAAAGATTCTTTTTAATATCAGGGTAAGGCCTTGTCATGTTGTGGGTTCTGGTGGATGACCCAAACGCAGTGAGGCAGAGACGGAGAGGTGGCCAAGATTTTATAAAAAATTGAAGACAGAAAATGTACAAAAATCACAGCACACAAAATGAAGAAAAACCAAAAAGTAGCATCCAGAACTCCAGTAAGCACAAGAAATGTTAATGTATCCATAATTTGCATGAATTGGCTGTGCCTCCACTGTGGCCTCCACTGTAGAAATACACCAGTAAAAATGGACGATCAGCAACATCGCAAGGAAAACGTCAGCTTGATGCTACAAGCTATACAGACTGAACTACACAAATTCCAAAATGGAAACGAACAAGACTTCCAACAATTAAAAGAAGAAATTAAAGAAGACATAAAAACTGCATTGCAAGAAATAAAAAGTGAAATC